TTTGCTTCGCTTTCCGACGCCGGCTTAAACCTGCTCTTAAGCTTTTCCTCGCACTAAACCCCTTAATCTCCTCTTCAATATGTTGGTCCTACCAGGGCTGGATTTATTGTGGGTTTTTTCCCCCCTTTTCCCCCTCCCCACGGCGCGGGGGGCAGTTTGGGAGGTGCCTGCGAGGACGGGCAAAGGACCAGGTGCAATTTTGGGTGCCCCTTGTCCTGGTCAGGGATGAGTCGCGCCAGCACCTGCCTGGTTATTCCCGTTATGAAAGGCAATTCCTACTTGTCACCCCTCTGCTTTGCCAATCAGGCGGAGGGGAGGAGGAGGATGGAGGGAGGAAGGCTCCGGCGGGATGATCCACTGGGGCCTGGTGGTGGTGACGCAGCGGTGGCCAAACCCAGCTCTGTTCCTACAGAGCTGCTGGGACCTCCCGCCCTGGGCTGGGGTTTTCATCCCCCCTTTAAAGCCACCCCAGCGCTCGGTGATGCCCCTCCATAGGTGTGTTTTGGGGGTGCCTTGTGGGGTGTAGGTACCAGGAGGCTCATCCTCGAGCTCCTCAGCCCCTGTTTCCCGCGGGCGCTGTGGTTCTGCCGCACTCTTGTGTAACGGTGGGGCCGGGGCGGGCGAGGGCGAGGCCGAGGTGAGCCCCCCACATCCCCCTTCCCACCCCGCCACATCCCGGGATTTCACCTTTATTGGTGCGGAGGGAAGCATTAACGCCTGCCTAATTACCGACACTGCTGGCTCTTAGGTAGCACTCGCACAGCCGGCACCAGCTTAATTAGCAACTGGGTGAACTTTTCCTTTTTTTATAATTTTTTTCCTTCTCCCCCCCCCAATACTGCGTGCTGACCCTCATTTAGGGCCAACCCCCCCCCCGATATCCCACCGTTTCCCCCAGTGAGGCGTTTTTCCCGCAGTCCTGCGTCCTCATCTCTCGAAGCCCGAATGCCGCATGGCGACGCCAAATTGACTCAATCTCCATTTTCCTCCCCAAAACCGCCCCTGCTCTGCCCCATTCCCCCGGGGCCCACAGCAGCTCCTCGCCCCTGTCCTTCCCTGCGCCGCGGATGCACCGGGGCCGGGGCAGAGGCTCTGCCTTGTATAATCCTATACGGTTTCCAGCCCTCCTGCTCACTTGTTTTGCAAGCAGCGTGGCGAGCAGCGTGCGGTGGCTCGGCAGCCTTTGCGACTTGTCCTAGTGACCTAGATCTGTCATTGGAAAAATCAGAGAGGGCGGAGGAGGAGCTTCCCTGCCCGTTTCGGCGGCGTGCACTCGCCGGCGCGGCCGAGGGCGGCCGGCACCCACCGGCCCTCCCGGCACGACGGCTGCCCCTGTCCCCGGTACCGCGGGACGGCTGCGCCTGTCACTTCCCAAAAATGAGCCCGGAGGAGCAAGCTGTCCTCCGGCTTTGTGGGGCCCTGAGTGGCGCAGACGTGATTTGGGATCCTCGACCCTGATAACCCCAGGGAGGGGCAGCGCCCGGAGGGTGAAACGCGGTGTTGGGGAGATGGTGGTCCCTGGCCCCAAGCCGTCCTCCTCCCCTGTTCCCTCCTCCCTGTCACGTTTAACTTTGAACTCGGCTATTTAAAGAGCTGCTAATGTCTAAATCTCGCCGGGTTTATCGGATGTGGCGAGCAGAGCTGCTCTCCTGCCTTTATTTAGCCCCAGGGAGATAATTCCCCCCGATTTAGCCGCAGGGCTGGAGGGGTTCTCCCTCCGCAGCCCGGTTTGTCCCCACCCCGGGCTGGCAGCAGGTCCCCCTCCCCGCTGCCTCACCTTTGCCATCCTTCTGCGCCAGCCAAAGTGCAAAGGGCTGCGTCCTGCGCCACCGGGGCTGGCCTTGGCAGGCTGCTGCGTGGCACGGGAGCTGCTGAACCGGAGCAGCCGGGGCAGGGGCCGGGCGGCCGTGGGGGAGCCACGTCGCCCACCCGACACCGCGACTTCCCAGCTGGAGACACACACTGCACCACGGACAGGGAAAACCAGCACCTCGCTGGGCACTGGGGCGCATGCAAAGCCCCCTGGCCACGAGGGAAGGTTGCCAAAGGTTGTCCTGGGGCAGGGTGAGAGCAGCTGAGCTGTGTTCTGGCCCAAAGTTTCCAGGAAATCTTTGCTAATCAATTAGGAAACCAGTTCCCACCTCCATCACTCCAGCCTGGCTCAGGGCCGCAGTTGTGTCATCTGAATTTTCCTTATTGCCTGCATGGCCCCGGTGCTGCTGCTGCCCCTGCTCCTGGAGCTGGGGCTGTGAACATCCAGCATGGGCCTGGCTTCTTTGGGGTTCCCTGGGATGCACGGATGGGGATGGGATTTGCCAGCAGCCATGGCCCCAATGCCGGGGTGTGGGAGACCCCGGGGTGCTGCAGCACAGGAGCCTGGTTAAAAGCAAAGCCATCAGCAGCTGTAATGGAGTGATAATTCCCTTTATTTCCTTATTTATTCCTACCCCACAGCCACTGTCCCAAAACACAACCGCTGTTGGAGGCTGTGGGGAAGAGCAGTCGCTCCCGGGGTCAGAGGTTGCTGCAGGAGACGCAGGAGCAGAGCTGGGTTTTAGGGAAGGGACGGGGAGATGGGGTGGCATTGTAGGTCCCCGCGTGTCCCTGTGCAGCCCGGCCTCGTCCCCTGCTCAGGGTGCACCGGGGGATACTGAACCCTCTGGAAGGGGGGAGGACGGCGGTGGTGAAGCGTGGGAGCATCCCGGTGCCCTTGGCCGGGGCAGGGGGTGCCGGGGGCTGCGGGGCTGCTGCTCATTACCGGAGGTGCCCGCCCCGCGGCATCGACCGCGCGGCAGCGGGATGGGGCACGGACCTCCTTTCCCAGCAGGCTCGCTGGGTAATGAGCCAGGGCCCTGGGGAAGCACCTGCCCCGGCAGCCGGGGGGTGTTTGGGGCAGGGGTGGCCACAGGGGCACGGAGCCGCCTCCGGAACACTCGGAGCTGGGATGCTCATCCCCTGCCTCTGGGCACCGTGGACTCAGGTGGCACCCCAAGGGAGGGGGTGCCCATATCCTGCCACCAGCCCCGTGGGGTGAGGGGGGTGCAGGTTTGTCCTGGGGGACTGCACAGACAGGGACCTGCCAGTGCCCCCCAAAACACCCCCTCCCAGGAGTCCTCACCTCCAAGCTGGGGGCGCCCAGCAGAACTGCTGGGAGAGGGGGTGGCTCCAAAAAGCCTCCAGCAGCAGTGAGGTTGCAGCACGTCCTGGGGCTCAATGGGGTGCTGAGGGTTTTGGGGTGATTCCCCCACAGCAGGGAGATCACATGGCCGAGGGGAGGGATGGAGGAGGAGGATGAGGATGGGGCCACCATCCTCTGCACCGCAGAGGAGGGGTCCGGACCCTCGTAGCCGGATCCTGCAGGGCCTGCCTTGTTTTGTTTTGAGGTGCGGGAGGGATGCCCGCCCTCGGGGCGGAGGCGATGGAGGGGAGGGTGTGCCGGCGCGGGACGAAGGCCGAGTCCTGCTCCGGGAAGGGCGGCTCTGGCTCTGCCGAAACCACCAGAGCCTCCAGCCTGGTCCGGGCCAAGCGGTGCTGGGCTGGAGGGGACACATGGCCGGGTCCGGGGGGGTGACAGGAGACCTGGGGGCTGTGCAGGGACAGCCCCGTGTCCCCACAGAGCCCTGCGGCTCAGCACGGCAAACACGTGTCCCCAGCTGGAGGGGTCACCCCAAAACGCCCCAAAATCCCCCTCCCCGGCGGCGGGAGGTGGGGGTGCCCCCCCGAGCCCCGGCTCGGCCCCGGGAAGGGTTAACGGCCGCGGTTACACAAGCGCGTGCGGCCACGGGCAGAAAAGTGTGTCAGTGGGACAGGATGGCTCCGAGCGCGGCGCAGCCGCCGGACCGGGGGCCATCGCCCCGCCACGGCCGAGCCCCGTGGCCGGACCGTGCCCACGGGGCCACTTACATAAGGGCCGGCCGGTGGCAGCGGGCCGGGAGTTGGGCAAGAAGTGTTTACAGTGGGAGGAGAGCAAATACCACCGCCGGGACATTTTAATTGCCGGCTGCGGATCATTGTTATTTATTTTTTTAACCCTTTGGTTTTGGTTTGTTGTTTTTTTTCCCCCCCCTGCTCCCTATCTTAGCCCCGTTGGCCCCAGGGTGCAGTTTCCCTTCCTACCCCTCCCGGGCGGGGGGAAGGGGTTCTCCCCCACCTAAACGACCCCCGTTTGCACAGCGTGGCTGATGCTCGCAGGGTTGTGGTGGGAGGAGAAGCCAAGTGCTCCCGTGGGGAAACTGAGGCACGGGGAAGGGGGGCACACCCGCAGTGTGGGGTCTGCTGTGATGTTTCCCCCTTATCACAGTGAGATTTGGGGGATGCAGGGTGCTGCTGTGACCACCCCACCAGCGCCCACATCCCTCCTTGTCCTGCTGGGTTTGCCCCAGGGGGGTGTTTAGGGGTCCCAGGGGAGATGGTCTGGCAGCCCCGGGGGTCCCGGGGGGAACGTGGCCGCAGCACGAGGGGACGCCGAGGGAGCCGAGCCGGTGATTCAGCCCGGGCTTACGATCCGAGCAGCAATTAAGCGCCGTCCTGGGCTGTAATTGCCATCGCCGGGGTTACGGCCGCGGATCGACGTCAGTTATTTGGGGCGAACGTCTTACGAGCGGGTCAGGTGCCGGTGGCGGGCACGGCCGGGTAATTAGCAGGATGGTAATTAGAGCCCCAAAAGGCTGCGGGCGGTCGAAGGGCTTCTCCTTCGCCAGGAGGAGCCAGGGCAGCATCATCCCCACGCACTCTTAGCTCTGGCTCCGGGGGGCTCTCGGGGGGCTCTCGGGGGTCCCCTCCCTCTGTGGGTGCAGGGGCAGGGTTTGGCCATCGGCATCACACGAAGCATCGGCGTCCCCGGGAGCTCGGGTGGGTTTTGTGGGGCACACGGAGCGGCACCCCCGGGCTCTGCCGGGTGGGTGCCGGTGGGTGCCAGGCCGAGCTCAGCCCGGTGCCGGTAATTCCGGGTACCGGAGTATCGGCCGCGGGCGTGAGGGCGCGGCGCCCGCGATGCATCACCCGCGCTGCCGGCGGCTGCAATTAACGTTGCATAACGAGCCGACGCCGCTTCCTGCCGGGGGTGGCACCCCCTCCCTGTGCCCCCCGCGATGCCACCACCTCTCTGTCCCATCCGGGCGGTTGGGGCAGGGCTTGGGGCAGGGCGGCGGGGCGGGGAGGGGTCCCCGCCGTTTGCGGGTTGCATCCCCTTTCCGGCGGCGTGGGTGAAGGTGGCAGCAGGATCCAGGGAATTGGAGGGTGTGTCGGTCATCGGAGCCGGGTGGTGGTTTGGGGGTGGGCACACAGGGCCCTGTCGATGCCTCCATCCCCCCGCCAAAGGGGCTGTGACGCCAGTGCAGTTGAGGGGGCTGTGAGGATGCCCTGGCCATCCCTGCCTGCTCCCTGCCCACTCCTGCCAGCTCTGCTGCCCCAGGCCCAGAACCACAGCAGAGGTGCAGGCAGCAGCTTTGGGGAGGGGCTGGGGCAGGAATGTGACCACCTTGAGTCTGAGGGGAACAACACACAGCCCTGGGAGAAGCCCGGCTCAGCAGCCTCAGGAAGGAAGGGTAAACCCCCAAATCACCTGGTGCATTCGGGGCAGGACCTGAGCAGCGAGGCAGTGGATGCAGGAGGGATCCATCCCTCACTTGCACCTGGGTTTGGAGCGAGTCCTTCCCCAGTGTGGCCGGGAGCAAACGTCCCCCAGAGGGTCAGTAATGGCAGCCCTGGGGAGGACCAATGCCATCCCCGGGGGACTGAGCATCCCCAGGGTACCAACTGCATCCTGGAGATACCAGCTGCACCCCGGGGGTGCCAATTGCATCCCTGGGGGACTGATAACATCCATGGAGGACCGAAGGCAGCCCTGGGGGACTGATGACAGCTTGGCTGCCCCTGTGCCCAGGGAGACTCCACTGCCCCAGCCCAGCCCCCCCTACATCACTGAGGGACCCCAGGACACGGCTGGGTGCCGGGGGCAGTGGCACTGGCCGAGCACTGGGACTGTCCCTCACGGAGACGGCCCCACAAAACACATCCCTCTCCCAGAGCCGATGGCTCCCGGGGGAGAAGAGAGGCAGAAGGGAATTACCCGAGCGGGGATTTGCACAGGCCCAGGAGATTGGAAATAACCATAATCTGGCCGTGGGGGTTATTTTGGCGCGGCGGCGCCTGCCCAGCGCCCTCGAGAGCAGCGCGGGCTGAGCCCGGCCGGGGGGTGCGGGGCTGCGGCGGGGATTAGAGGGTGCAGAGATGCCGGGAGGCACGTACGAGTCCCGGGGGTGCCCTGCGTCCCCCCCCGGCGTGCGTGGGGAGGGCAGAGCCAGCGCAGATCTGGGGCAGCTGGAAAATGAGGAGGACGAAGCCTATTAGCAGCTCAGTGCCAGCGAAGCAGAAGCGGGGAGGGAAGCGGATTTGCGGGGGGAAGGGGGCCGGGACCTTGAGCTGGGGATGGCTATATCGGTCCTGGGTTTCAGAGGAGCTGCTGGGGCGATGGGGAGGGCCCAGACCCTCTGCTTGGTCCAGCTCTGTGGCAGGAGAGCATCCACAGCTGCAGGGACGGGGATGGTCCCTGTGCAAAGGGTGTCCCTGTCCTGGTGCACACACTGGTTGAAGAGCAAGGGGAATGATCCAAAACAGGGTCCTGGGCAGGCTGGTGCACAAACATCCTGTGCTCTCCTGGCTCCAAGGCCTTTCCTACTCTGTCTCGTGCTGCTGGAGGGGATGGGGGAGCAGATGGGGGTACCCCACACCCTGTGTGAGCCTTCTTGAGGACCTCTCTGAGGTGGAAGAGTCCTTGCAGGGGCTGCAGGAAGGGCTGAGCTGCCGGTGGGTCCAACTCTCGTGCCTCAGTTTCCCCAGGTGCTGTCGTGGAGAGGGGTCCAGCTCCCTCCTGCTCAGCGTTTACCACCATTAACCCTCGCGGTTTTCCCCCCTTCCCCCTCCTCCCCAGCCCAAATCGAGGTGATCCCGTGCAAGATCTGCGGAGACAAGTCCTCAGGGATCCACTACGGTGTCATCACCTGCGAGGGCTGCAAGGTGAGCCCGGGGACGGCGGCTGCCGGCGGGTGGGGGCAGCTGCGGGGGCCTGGCATTCCAGCCGGGCACTTTCCCAACCCGTCCCGTCCCCGCGCAGGGTTTTTTCCGGAGGAGCCAGCAGAACAACGCCAGCTACTCCTGCTCCCGGCAGAGGAACTGCCTGATCGACCGCACCAACCGCAACCGCTGCCAGCACTGCCGCCTGCAGAAATGCCTGGCGCTGGGCATGTCCCGCGACGGTGAGCCGTGCCCGGGGTCCCCAGGGGCCGTCTGCTCCCCCGCGGAGCCGGTCGGGCTGTCGGGATGAAGGTGCTCCCCCCGCAGGGCCGGCGCGGCGCAAGGAGGGTTTGGGAAGCGAGAAACGCTTTCGCGTTTTCCGCGGGAAGTCGATTCAGTCGGTTCTGTTCTGCTCGACCCAGGGTTGGTCTGGGGCGGGGGGTGCATCCGGCGGGGTCCCTGCCCCTCTCAGGGCTCGTACAGCGGCTGCCCCGGGGGTCAGGACCCTTCCCAGGCGGGGGGGTGGTCCCGGCTTTGCTCCGGGGCGAGGCTACCCTGACACGGCCGCGTCTCTCCCGGGGCAGCGGTGAAGTTCGGCCGCATGTCCAAGAAGCAGCGGGACAGCCTCTACGCCGAGGTGCAGAAGCACCAGCAGAGCCAGGAGCAGAGCGGGGGCACCAAGGATGAGCCCGAGCCCCTGAGCCGCGTCTACACCACGAGCGTGAGCAGCGGGCTCTCGGACCTGGACGACATCTCCACGCTGTCCGACGGGCTCCTCTTCGACTTCCCCCTCACCCCCGACGGCAGCAGCACCTACTACAACCTGGACCTGCTGGCCTCGGCACAGCCCTCGCCCGACCAGTCCAGCCTGGACGTGGCCGACGCCACGCTCATCAAGCAGGAGTCCATCTACGAGCTGATGCTGGAGCCGGCCCTGTTCGCCCACGGGGCGCTGGAGGGGGGGCAGCTGCCCCCCGACATCTCCGTGCTGGAGATCGGTGAGCGCCGGGGCAGCCCCGGAGGGATGTGGGGTTGTGCAGCCCTGGGGACGGTGCTCGGGGCCACCCCAGCACCTTGCAGGACACATCCAGCTCTGGGTGCCCACACCAGGCACACCCTGAGGGACCCGGGATAGCAGAAGGTGTCCCTGCCCGTGGCAGGGCGGTGGAATGAGCTTCAAGGTGGATCAGTGGATGAGCTTCGAGGTCCCTCCCAACCCAAACCATTCTGGGGTTTTATTCTATGATAGTGAGGGACTGCCCCGGTCTCGGCTCTCAGAGCAGCCCCAAGCCCTCCAGGCTGAGCACGGATGGAGCTCAGCACACCTGAGACCGTGTGGAACATCCCCTGCTGTGCCTTGGGGACAGCCCCCAACAGTCTGTCTGTGCTCACACCCCCGTGACACCGCACCGAGTCCCTCTCCCCCTCCAGCCCCCAGCCCCGGCAGCCCCCCAGGACACCCAGGAGAGGAGGGGTGTGGGGGCAGGGGGCAGGGGGCTCACCAGCACTGTCCCCACCTTGCAGACCGGGTGGCCCAGAACGTGGTGAAGTCTCACCTGGAGACGTGCCAGTACACGACGGAGGAGCTCAAGCGCCTGGCCTGGAGCCTCTACTCCCCCGAGGAGGTCCGTGCCCTGCAGAGCAAGGTGAGTGCCACTGCCACGGCCCCCACGGCCCCCCAGCACAGCCAGCGTCCCCTGGGGTGGGGGTGAAGGCGAGGAGGGTCCTTCAGTGCTTTGGGAGCTGCAAAAGCCCAGTGTCGGGGGGAAGGTGTGGTGGCAGCTCCTGCCCCGGGTGTCCTGATGCCACCACGCCTGGCACGGCACGGGGGTCCCTCCCCTGCCCAGCCGGTGTGGTGGGGAGGGGGCAGCACAGCCTGAGGGCCGTCCCTGTGCCACAGAGCTGCGAGGCCATGTGGCAGCAGTGCTCGCTGCAGATCTCCAACGCCATCCAGTACGTGGTGGAGTTCGCCAAGCGCATCGACGGCTTCATGGAGCTCTGCCAGAACGACCAGATCATCCTCCTGAAAGCCGGTAAGGGGGGGATCCCACCGCCCCCCTCGCGTCCCTGCCACCCCCCCACTGTCCCCCCCGTGTCCCCAACACCTCTCCCAGCAGCAGCTGCGGTGCCAAAGGTGTATCCCATCTCTTCTCTTGGCTGGCGCTTTCCTCTCGGAGCCTCCCCTCCCTCCTGCCCCAGCTCTCCCAGGGCTGGGCTGGAAGGAGCTGAAGGTCGTGTGTAAGGCTGGTGCTGCGGGGAGGGGACATGGGGAGTGGCTGCCTTGGGCAGAGGCTTTTCTCCCAGTCACTCTCATCCAAATGTCATCCAGAAGCTGGGATGGAAATGAGCACGGCAGGTTTTCCCCTGGGAAAATGGGTGCCAAGTCCAAAGGGGAGCAGGGAGGGAGAAGAGAAAAGGATTGACCTCTTCTCCCAGCAAGAGACTGGGAAGAGGAGGATGATGGCAGCACACACCCATGCCCCCCACCCACCCATCTGCCTGAGCTGGTGATGCCGTGCCCAGGCCAGGGACCTGAACGTGTAAAAGCCCCAAAATAGTGGAAAAGCCTCCCAGTTCCTCATCAGGGCTGGGGGGCTGAGAGCCTCACCCAGCACAGGGGGTGCGTGCCTGTGTCCCAACAGGACGTTGTACCCCGAAGCCAGAGCTGGCCATGCCCGACACGCTGGAGTTTAACTCATTCTTTCATTTCTTCCTCCCATTTTCTTTTTATTTATTTTGTTCTCACCCCCTCCTCTCTCGGTGCTCCACCACAACCTCGGTCTCTCTGCCAATGACTGGATAATATTTCCCTTCGGTGAAATATTGTGGTCACAATTGGAAACCTAAAAAAAAAAACCCCAACCAATCCCAAAACCCAAAACGGATTTGTTGGAATAACCATTCTGCTCTTGGGAATGAACAATCTGGACTTCAAACGTGCACTGGGGGCTTTCCTCTTTCTTACCTTTGGTCCTGGGATGATGGAAACCCCTTGACCTTCCCTGCCCTGCCCTGCCCTGCCCTCGTCTGCGCTCTCTCTGCCTACATCAGGTTGCCTCGAGGTGCTCCTGATCCGCATGATCCGTGCGTTCAACCCCCTGAACAACACCGTGCTCTTCGAGGGGAAGTTCGGCGGGATGCAGGTGTTCAAGTCGCTTGGTAAGAGCTCCTCTCCTCTCCTCTCCTCTCCTCTCCTCTCCTCTCCTCTCCTCTCCTCTCCTCTCCTCTCCTCTCCTCTCCTCTCCTCTCCTCTCCTCTCGCTCTCCTCGCCACTCTCCTCCCGCTCCGCTCCTCCTCCGCGTCCTCTCTCTCTCTCCTCTCCCGCTCCTCTCCTCGCCCTCGCTCCTCCTCCCTCTCCTCTCCTCTCCGCTCCTCTCCCGCTCCCTCTCATCCCGCGCCTCTCCGCTCCTCGCTCTCCGCTCCGCGCCTCTCCTCTCCTCGCCCTCCGCTCCTCGAAATCCGCTCCGCCGCGCCTCCTCCTCTCCTCTCTCTCCGCTGCTCCTCTCCTCTTCCCTCCGCGTCCTCTCCTCTCCTCTCCTCTCCTCTCGCAGCCTCTCCTCTCCCGCCTCTCCTCTCGCTCTCCCTCTCCTCTCCTCGCCGAATCCGACCCTCTCCTCTCCTCTCCGCTCTCTCCTCTCCTCTCCGACCCTCTCCGACCCGCGTCCACCCGCTCCGACCTCTCCTCTCCTCTCTCCGACCCTCTCCTCTCCTCTCCTCTCCTCTCCTCTCCTCTCCTCTCCGACCCTCTCCGACCCTCTCCGACCCTCTCCTCTCCTCTCCTCTCCTCTCCTCTCCTCTCCGGGTGGAGGTGCTGCCAGGGGGGCAGAGCCGTGATGTCCCCGCTGTCCCTCCCCAGGCTGTGATGATCTCATCGGAGCCATCTTCGAGCTGGGGAGGACCCTGTGCCGCCTGCAGCTGTCGGACGAGGAGCTCGCCCTGTTCACCGCCGCTGTCCTGCTCTCCCCAGGTACAGCCCCGCACCCAGGGCTGCCCCGTGGCACAGCTGGGCAGAGCTGACCCGTCAAGAACATCCTGAGCTGGGAGGCACCCACAGGGATCATCCATCCAACCCCTGGCCCTGCATAGACACCCCAACCATCCCACCCTGTCCCTCAGAGCGTTGTCCAAACCCTCCTGGAGCTCTGGCAGCCTTGGGGCCATGCCCACTGCCCTGGGGAGCCTGGGCAGTGCCCCAGCACCCTGTGGGGGAAGAACCTTGTCCTGGGATCCATCCCAAACCTCCCCTGACATGACTTCCTCAGCACTGGTTCCTTGGTGTTTGACCTCAGTCGTTCCTCGCGAAGGAGGTTGGGGGGGAAAAAATGCACAAAATGCATCTGCCAAAACCCCTGTGTGGGGAGAGGAGCTGTGTCACCCACCGCGGGGGGGAGGGCATGCAGGGAGGCCCAGCTGGCCATGCCACTGTCCCCAAACCCGTCCCAGAGGAGACCCCCCTGGCAGCTCTGCCCTGGTGTCCCTCACAGATCGCCCCTGGCTGACCGAGTCCAAGAAGGTGCAGAAGCTGCAGGACAAGATCTACGTGGCCCTGCAGCACGAGATCCAGAAGAAACACTCCGCTGAGGACAAGCTCTCGAAGGTGGGGGGTGGCACGGGGGGGGCACAGGCGGGGGCTGTGCCAGGGGGTGTCTGAGCTGGGGCACGGGGCTCCACCAGAGCTCAGGAGCCACACACGGGCGTTCCTGGGGCACTCAGACCTGCCCAAGGAGGAGAAGAATTTCCCTTTCCAGGGGCTGTGAATCTCCTGGCAGTGCAGGCAGAGGCAGCCCCGGGCTGCTGAGCCTGGCACTGCAGCAGGCAGCGGGTTTTTTGGGCAAAAGGAGCCATTTCAGGAATGCTTTGGGCAGCACGGAGCTGGAGCAGGGAGGGGGGCCCTGGGGGCTCCTTGAGCCCTCCCAGGTGCTGGTTTTCCTGGGGAAAGATGTGGGTTTGGGGGTGAGGCCACGTTGCTGCCAGGCTGCCCAAAGGGGGGCTGTCTGCTGGTGCCCCAGTGCCAGGCAGAGCCACTGGTCCCCAAACCCACCCGTTGTCCCCAAGGGAGGGGGAACAGCAGGAACAGCAGGGCAAGGGACACAAACTGGGAACCCAGTGGTCCCCAAACCCACCCATTTTCCCCAAGGAAGGGGGAACAACGGCACAGGGACATTAACTGGGAATCCAGTGGTCCCCAAACCCACCTGCTTGTCCCCAAGGAAAGGGGAACGGCAGCATTAGGGACAGTGGTTGGGAACCCAGTCACCCCAAACCCATCCATTCTCCCCAAGGGAGGGAGAACAGCAGGGCAAGGGACACCAGGTGGGAACCCAGCGGTCCCCAAACCCTCCTGCTTGTCCCCAGGGAAGGGGGAACGACAGCACAGGGACACTGGCTGGGAACCCAGCGTGGTCACCAGCTCCTCCTCTCCCCACAGATGGTTTCCAAGCTGCCCTTGATGAAGACCATTTGCAACCTGCACTTGGACAAGCTGGAATTTTTCCGTCTCCTGCACCCGGAGACCGCCATGAACTTCCCTCCCCTGTACAAGGAGGTTTTCAACTCGGAGCTGCAGTACAGCGACCCTCGCGAGAGCTAAGGCCGGGAGCCACCTCGAGGCCCTTCGAGCCCCCCAGAATTTGGAGACGAACTGCACTTCAGAGGTTTGGGGCAGTTTATTTAAATCAAGTCAATCAAACTCAAGAGAAGCCGGGGGGGCTGCGGGTGCCCCCAGCCCCGTGGCCCCGCCGTGGATTGCAATAGCTCTTGAATGTAAAGCACCTTGAAGGAAAAAGCAAATGGACTTTGCCATACCAGTGAAATGAATGTGAAATCTCTGCTGGGGAGGGGAGATGCTCCTGGCAGTCCTGCTGTCCTGGCTGCACTCTCCACCTCTGATTTTTTTTTTTTTTTAATTATTGTTTTTTGGTTTTTTGGTTTTTTTTACCCAAACACAAGACATGGGATAAAGAAGGGGCGACGCTGACTCGGCTGGGTGGGGTGGGCTGGAGCTGAGGAGAGGGAAAAGGGAGAGCCTTTGGTTTATTCCTTCTCCCAGGGGTGCAGTGAGCCCACGGGAGCTTGGCTGAGAAAGACCTGGCTGTGGCTGGGGGGGGATTCAGCACAAGATGTTCCCGTGGAGGAGGCTGGTGCGAGGGAAGGGACGCCCAACACCACAGGGAAAAAGCTCTGCAGGGCCTCCGTGTCCTCCGTCACAGCATTTCCCCAAATGCCCGGCCAACTGCCCACCCAGCTGGGCTTTCTGGAGCTGATTTGGCAGGTCCACCTGCCTCGTGCCACCTTTCCACACCCCCAGTGCTTTTCCCAGCCCGTGTGACTGCAGCCAGAGCCCGGCTCCAGCTGCTCCACCCCGGCAGTGCCGGGGCTGTCCCTGTCCCCACAGTGGTGGCTCTCTGGGTGCTGGTGTTGTCTCACCGAGCCCATTAAAATTTCCCCGTGGCTCAGCACCCAGGGGAGGGTTTGAGGCCCTTCCTCCACCCACCCCCATCCCGCTGCCGGGTCCCCCCTTCCCACGCCGGCACCGCCGGGAGCACGGACGTGGCTGCTCTTGCAGGTTGAGTTGGACCCAGGCTCTTCCCCCCAAGGAGCTCCCTAGAACTGTTATTTTGGGGCTTGTTCTCTATTTAGCAGGATTTAGGAGCTTTTCAGGGGGAGAAACTGCCAATTGGGGTCAAGGGGAAGCAGAAGGTCCTTATTCCTTCCCTTCAAGGAATTAGGGTGATGGGAAGGAATGTGGTGTGGTCGGGACCTGCTGCTCCAAGCTCGGGAGGCTCAAAGGTGACAAAGGGAAGGATTTGTGGGGTGATGCTGTAATAGTCCTCAGCAGTGGGAACACTTGAGAGACTCTGTGGCTCTGCAGATGGTTTTTTCCGTCCCTGTTCCTGCTCCTCCTGCAGCAAATGCCAAAACCAAGGGAAAACCCTGCTCCGAGGCAGCCCCAGTTTCTGCTGACAAAGGGCTAAAACCCCGAGCCCCTTCCTGCTTCATGCTGATCCCCCGTGCTCCCAACCCCCTCCTGCAGCAGTTTGGACCATCTCTGAGTGGGAACCAGAGACCTTCAGCTCCACAATTGCACCCCTTGAACTCAAGGAGCAGCTCTCTTGGCGTTGTCAGGGACGTTCGTGCTCGTGGGTGAAAGATCTCCCAGGGAAGAGCACGGACCAACCTCGACCTGGGAAGAGTCGCCGGTGGGATTTCTGCCTCGGCCTAAGGCAGAGGGAAATGTGGGGGCTGTGCAGGGTTTGAGAACCACATCTGACCTGCTCCTTGGAGGAGATCAGAGCCCTCTCCAGCACTGTTGGAGCCCAGGAATTTGGGAAAGGCTGCCAACCCTCCCACGGCCCCACGTGAGTGCCAACGCGTCGTCCTCGTCCGCCGGGCTGGGGACGTGCCCCGCTGGTTTCCCGCCCTCTCAGCTCCTCAAGCTTTGACAGAAGTGAGAAGTCAGCGCTGCCTTTTACATCCAGAGGGTTGTGCCTTTTTTTTGGGAGCATCAGCACCGGGAGAAGCGCCCTATGGAAACGACTGTGCTTCGCAGCTCGCCCTCGGCGCGGCGGGGCAGCGGCGCCGCCTTTCCCAGAGGGACACGGGTCTTCTGGAGTATTTGGGGGAAAAGGAGGAGGAAAAAAAAAAAAAAGAAAAGCACAGCCCCTTGTTTTCACCCTCGGTGTTCGTCAGCACCAGCGGTTCCATTTCACCCGGCACAGAACCCAGGGAAGCACCTTAAACTCGGGAACAGCCCCCGCCGCCGCCGCGGCTTCGTCCTGGCTCGTGACACAGCGTCCGCCTCGTGGGAGAGGTTCTGGATCCTGAGCAATAAAAAAAGCCCCCCCGTGGGAACCTAGGGAAGACTGGAAGTATTAAAGACACGTGTAACTCGACCTGCCAAACCGCGGGGAACCTGCACTTTCTATGTTCTCTTTGACGGAACCGACTCGACTCGCTGATTTCTCGGGAGGGGATAAAGTGATTCCACGTCGATTCAGTGATTTCTTCTGGCTTGGGACGGGCGAGATGCCCGGGAAGGGATGGCAAGGGCTGCGGCCAAGGCTGTGCTGAGGTCCCTCGCGCCCCGCTGGGCCTCCGGGAGCATCGAGGGAAAGGGCAAAGGACAAAAACCTGGGTAGAAATGCCTGAAAAAGGGAGATTTCCCCTCTCCCTGTGCCAGGGCTGCGTGTGCCCACTGGGGATGATGCCCAGGAGCCCCGAGACCTCCAGATTGCTCCGATGCTCCGTCCTTGGCGTCTTGGAGATGTTTCCAACCCTCCAGCCATGGGATGTTTGGCCGCTTTCCCATCCAGCAGCCCTGGGGAGCCTCTCACAGTGATGGCTCTTGTCCAGACCAAGATTAATTTCGTGTTTGTTTGTTTGCTCTGGCAGTTTAGCTGAGTGTCCATTTCCACCTGCAGAACCCTCACACTGTGTATAAAAAAATGGATCAAAAATATATATAATATATATTCTTGTGAATGTTGGTGCAAAAGAGAAAAATATATAAAGTTTCAGTCGGTTTTATGTTATTTTTTATCTCTTATGAATGAAAGAAAGAAATGGAAAACCTTTTCTTTCCATTTACCACCCTCCACACACACCTACCTGTAGATACCAACAGGTTTTATGGAAATGTTTTACTTTTTAGATTTAGGAAGATGCTTCTGTTCTCATTGAATGTTCTGTCTTGTAAGATTGTAATTTCTATTTTTTTAAAGAAAAGAAAATAACTAAATAAAATTTCCTCTTTCGGACCAGTCAGCTTAGGAAGGGAGGGCAGGGGAGGGAGAAACGTTTATTTAAGGACAAAACTTGTTGTCTGAATTTTTCATGACATTAAATAAAAAGTAATATAATGTATGGATGAAAAGCTTTTTATTGAGGTGTGTTCTATAGGTACATAGGTGTATATTGCACAGAATTTGCAGGAAGAAAAATAAAGTCTGTTTTGCAAGGTCAAAAAAAAAAAAGAATGAATAATGTTGGAAACAGTGATTTTAAATTTTAGCAAAGGGCAAGACTGGAAGGGAATCTCTTAAAATCATGGAAAAAACCTTTAATTTTCCCATGAGCTCAGGACCCAGCTGGACCAGAATCATGGAATGGTTTGGGTTGGGAGGGACATTAAAACTCATCCAGTCCCACCCCCTGCCCTGGGCAGGGACACCTTCCACCAGCCCAGGTTGCTCCTTTGATCCAACCTGGCCTTGGACACTCCCAGGGATGGGGCAGCCACAGCTGCTCTGGGCAACCTGTGCCAGGGCCTCCCCACCCTCCCAGGGAATATATCCCATCCATCCTGTGCAGGGTTTGGACACAAGGGGAGATTTCAGGTGTTGGAAGGTGCTGTGTGTTCCCTTGACGCCAGGCACACACTGAGGTGAGCTGGGAAGAGGCTGGATTTGTGCCCAGAACCCCTGTGTTGTGTTCCAAGAGCCCTTGGAAGCACTTCCTGGCACCCCCATCCTCCCCTGCATCCTCCAGCTTGGGCACTCCGAGGGAGAGCCAGGATCTGGGAAGGGGCTTCATCTGGGCAACCCCTCCAGGCTGAGGACAGGGACTGTCCCTGGCAGCACAAGGGGACACATTTTGGGGCAGGAGGCTGGGGACAGGTCTGGGGGGATGTGTGGGGGAATGAGGGACAGCCCAGGCACGGCAGGAATTTGTTTTTCAACAGCTCCCAGTACCGGGAAGGAAAGAATGCCCTGGATATACAAGGGATACATGGATAGCACCCCCTGGATACAACAAGGATGCCAGGACTCAGATGCAAAGTGCTGATCCCTGCTCTGGGACCAGGGACAGGACCCAGGGAAGGGCTGGAGCTGTGCCAGGGGGGTTGGGATGGATCTCAGGGAAAGGTTCTTCCCCCACAGGGTGCTGGGGCACTGCCCAGGCTCCCCAGGGCAGTGGGCACGGCCCCAAGGCTGCCAGAGCTCCAGGAGCCTTTGGACAACGCTCTGAGGGACAGGGTGGGATTGTTGGGGTGTCTGGGCAGGGCCAGGGGTTGGACTGGATGGACCTTGTGGGTCCCTTCCAGCTCAGGAGATTCAGGATTCTGTGATTCTTGGTCAGGATGCAGACGGGTCAAAGGCATCACTGGGTGTGAAACGTGCAAATCCCACCCTCTCTTCCCTCTCCTTCCCCTCCAGTTCTCCCCTGGGTGCCCATTCCCTGCTCCCTGAGCAAATCCGGAGTTGTGTCCCTCAGCAGCACAGCTGGACTGTCCTGGAGCTGTGGAGCAGAGGGGAATGATGATCAGGAATCCTTGGGGCAGCAGGGTCAGTCAGTCCCAGGGTTTTGCCTCACCAGCTGTCATTCCCAGGGGACAGCACAGCTCCTCTTTCCTGTTCCCACCCGTGGAATTCACATATTGCAGGATAAATCCTGGCTGCTACAGAGAGCTGGGAACAGCCAGAAACAGGGACAGCTTGTGGAGATGTGGGGAGGTGTCATCACCCCCTTTGGAGGTGGAGGGAGCAGAGCTGGGGTGTCCAGGGAGCTGCTGTGTCCATGTGGGAGCACACAGGGATCACCTGGAGCTGGGGGTGTCACACCCACAGTCCCATCAAATTGCTACACAGTGACACTTTTACTTGATTTTCATTTAAAAAAGGTCTTTTCCCATCCCCCCCCCCCCCCCCCCCCCCGAAAAATCAAGTTTCTTTGGTGTATTTTGGAAAAAATATAAAGTATGGGAAATCTGTTAACAAAATTCCTTGTGAAGAGCTGCTCTCTAAACAAAACGTGTTCAGGAAAAATGGCCTTTCAGCTCCAGGGGAGAAGCTGGGAATTATCCAGGAGGTGTCTGGGGGTCCCGGTGGGCTCTGGGAGCCCGAACACCTCCAGCCAGAGGCGGCAGGATGGGATCCTGTGGTTGTCCCGCGGGACAGGAGTTTGGGATTTGAGGGTGACCGGGGGTCGGTGTCCCCACCGCGGCTCCCCCCAGTTCGTGCTCCCTCTCTTACTGGTCCAGCAGCGCTGGATTTACTGGGGCCGAGTGACCTCTACTGGTTTATACCCAAAATATTCCCTGCGTGCCTGGGATCCGAGTGGATGGAGGCAGGAGGCCTGATCCTTCCTTCCCAAAAAACAGCTGCCCAGCTGGGAAGTGCTGGAGCCAGTGGCACTGCCCGTGCCCCTTTCTGGGGACAATCCCCAGGAAAACTGGGCAGCCCACCCAGAGCAGGGGCCAAACACAACCAGTGACCCCCAAGAGGTGGATTTTAGGGAAACTTGGCAGAGTTTGGGGAAGTTTTAGGGAAAGTTTACAGGGAGAGGCCTCGGTATTTGCTCAGTCAAGAGGGGTGAGCCTGACACAGCCTGGGAGTGCTGGGACAGAAACCACAGCCCCAGGGCTTGGAAAGGTTTTTTAAAGTACAGTTGGGGTTATAAATGGCCAGATTTATAGGATTTTCAGAGAGCTGGGACCTTGGAGAGGGATCCCTACCTAAGGAGTCCCTAAGGAGTCTAATGGAAATAAGGAATTAAGGAGCTCTACAACCAAACAAAAGTGTTCAGGCTGGAAGGGACCAGAAAAAAAAAACCCTAAATAAAATTTCCTCTTTCAGATCAATCAGCTTAGGAAGGGAGGGCAGGGGAGGGAGAAATGTTTATTTAAGGACAAAACTGTTCTCTGAATTTTTCATGACATTAAATAAAAAGTAATATAATGTATGGATGAAAACCTTTTTGTCGAGGTGTGTTCTGTAGACACACAGATGTGTGCACCGCACAAAATTTCAAGGAAGAAAAATAAAGTCTGTTTTGCAAGGTAAAAAAAAAAAATTAATAACGTTGGAAGTCGTGTTTTTAAGTTTTAGCAAAGGGTGAGACTGGAAGTAGTGGAAAAAAACTTTATTTTTTTTCTGTGGGCTCAGGACCCAGCTGGACCAGAATCATGGAATGGTTTGGGTTGAAAAACACCTTAAAGAGCATCTCATCACACCCCCTGCCATGGGCAGGGACACCTTCCACTAGCCCAGGTTGCTCCCCGTCCAACCTGGCCTTGGACACTCCCAGGGATGGAGCAGCCACAGCTGCTCTGGGCAACCTGTGCCAGGGCCTCACCACCCTCACAGCCAAGAATCTCTTCCCAATATCCCATCTATCCCTGCCCTCTGGCACTGGGAAGCCATTCCCCTTGTCCTGTCCCTCCATCCCTTGTCCCAAGTCCCTCTCCAGCTCTCCTGGAGCCCCTTTAGGCCCTGGAAGGGGCTCTCAGGTCTCCCTGGAGCCCTCTCTCCTCCATGTGAGCACCCTCAGCTCTCCCAGTCTCTCTCCATGGCAAAGGGGCTCCTTTGGATGGATCCCTTGGATCATCTCCATGTTCTCCCCGGCAGAGCCCCCCGGAGGGGTCGGTCGCGGTACCTCGCACAGTTCTGTCCCTCGCGGCCGCCGTAGGACTCCCCCGCCCCTCCCGCCCGCCCTGCCCCTCACATGACAGCGGGTGGGGTGGTGCCGCGATGCACTCTGGGAGTTGTAGTCCGAGGCGCGGGGAGCGCAGCGGGCGCGGCCATTGGCGAGACTCCGTTTCCCAGAGCGCCCCGCGGCGGCCCCGGGGGGAGCGGGAGCGGGCGATCGATGAGGTGGGATCGGGGGCGCCGGGCCGGGGAGCGGGGGCTGAGGGGGAGCCGGGGGTCGTGGAGGGGGAGCCGGGGGTCGTGGAGGGGGAGCCGGGGAGGGGGGGTCAGCAGGTGGCCTCGGAGGAGGGATGGCGGGGGTCGGAGGGGAGAGCTGAGGGTCGTGGGGAGGGAGCCGAGGGTTGGGGCGGGGGCAGAGCTGGAGAGGTCAGGGGGGAGCTGAGGGTCGGGGGCGGCCCGGGGAGGGCGAGCCGGGGGTCATGGAGGAGGATTTGGGGGTCGGGAGTGGGAGCAGGTATGGGAGGAGGGATGGGGGGTCGGAGGTGGCGCGGCGGGGGTCGTTGGGGCGAGCCTGGCGTTGGGGAGGGGGAGCTGCGGGTCGTGGAGGAGGAGTTGGGGGGTCGAAGGGGGCCGGGGGAGGGAGAGCTGGGAGTCGGGAGGGGGAGCCTGGGGGTCGGGGGTGCCGGGGAAGGGGGATCTGAGGGTCAGGGGGGCAGCTTGAAGGGTCGGGGCGGAGGGAGCTGGGCGGGTCTGGGGGGGAGCTGAGGGTCGAGGGTGGCCGGGGGAAGGAGAGCAGGAGCTGGGGGTCGTGGAGGAGGATTTGGGGCTCGGGAGAGGGAGCTGGGGGTCGTGGAGGAGGATTTGGGGCTCGGGAGAGGGAGCTGGGGGTCTGAGGAGGGGGAGCAGGTGGGCTCGGAGGAGTTGTGGGGGGAGCTGGGGGCCGGGGAGGGGGCGCGGGGGGTCCCAGGGGTATAACGGGGCCGGGAGGTGGGTGACAGTGCCTCGGGCCGGGGGTGTCACGGGGGCAGCCCCGGGGGCAGCAGCGGTGGGGGGCGGCAGGGGAGGGGGTGTCGGGGGGGCTGAGCTCGGGGAGGTATCGGGGACAGGTCTGGGGGGACGGACGGGGCGTGTGTCGGGAGGAATCGGGGCCAGCCCGGGATCGGGGGCGGCCCCGGTGGGAGCCGCTATCGGGGGCAGCGGGAGGGGTGGGGACAGGAGGCGGAGGGTGGAGAGGGGTCCTGTGCCCTGCAGGGTGAGACCCCCACCCTCCTGCGAGCTGCGAGCTGCGAGCTGGAGCATCGGGAATGTGCCTCCCACGGCTCCCTCCTGCCTGAGCCCCGGGAGCAGCCACCGGGACACGTCTGGAGGGCTCAGGGGGGACACGGGAGGGTCAGGGGACAGGGTGACACAGTCCAGCTGCTGCTGGGGAGGGTCGTGGTTCTCCAGGGACTGTCAGGGTGAAGCTCCCTGATGTGTGTGGTTTGGGTACTGGCTCCTTCAGGTGCTGCCCTGGATAGAGGCAGCACAGGCATGTCGTGATTTTACTTCCCCCTCTCTGCTCTCAGGGTTTTGTGAGCTCAAGGAACTCTCGTGTGGAACCTGTGATGAGGAGAGCAGTGAGTTAGAAATTAGGCAATTAATGGATGGATTAATTTAGCTTTTCTGTGTTATTCTAGGCTAATTAGTGTTGTTGCTGCTGTCTATGTGAGGCCTGTCTGAGAGGGTGACAGGGAGTGGAACAGGCCTGTGCCCTGAGCACAGATACTTCAGTGTTTCTGTGGTTTTTGTCTTCCCCTTGAGCCTTCTGAGGTTCTGCCCCTGAGCAGCTGAGCTTCACTCCTGGACGTGTTCATACCAAAATTAACATTTGTTTGCTCTGGGTTTTGAATACCCAAATTAAGGCTCCTGCCCCATGTGCTGAGGCAGCAGGTACAGCTGTGTAAACAGGCTGGGGGGCACCTGAGGGGAATTGCTTCCAATCCTGCTGTCTCCCCAACTCCAGGGGTGGGGGAGAGGGGCAGCAGGACCCCCTGTACAGCCAGGAGTCCCCCGGAGGCTCCCAGGACTCGGAGCTGACGTGGGAGTGGGATAACCCTGTAACTTCATTGTCCCCTGTGCCTTTTCTCGGGGCAGTGCTGCCATAAACAGTTTCCCTGTTCTCCCTGGCCGTGCTGGGTGGCTTCTGGAGTTACTTTTTGGGCTGGCTGTGTCACTGCAGGGACTGTGTCACTGCAGGGACTGTGTCCCACCCTGGCAGGGAGAGGAAGCACCACCAACTACAAACTGTGTCAGCTCTGCAGAGTCCGGGATGGTAAAGCTGAGCCAGCGTTTTGGAGTGGCCTCTGCTGCCTCTGGGAAGTTCCTGATTAAAGTTGGGTGTCTGAGTGAGACTCAAACCCAGCCTTTTGCCTTAAGGCCAGTGCAGAGACACCACTTTCCCTTTAAATTCAACTGGAGAGACCATGAGCACTGAGTGCCACATCCAGCCATTCCTTGGGCACTTCCAGGGATGGGGACTCCACCACCTCCCTGGGCAGCCCCTTCCAATGCCTGACCACCCTTTCCATGGAGAAATTCCTCCTGGCATCCAACCTGAACCTCCCCTATTGCAGCTTGAGGCCATTTCCTCTTGTCCCGCCACTGGTTGTCTGGGAGAAGAGTCATCAAATCAAAATGAGAATACAAAAGCAGTACAGAAAATATCCTAAAGCAATGCCTCAGAAGCTGTGGGATTTTGCTGGATGGAAAGCTTGGGATGTGGGTCTAAGTTTGTCACCTGCAGGGATTGAGGGGGTCCGGTGTCCTGTGAATCTGGTCTTGGGGACGTGCCCCAGGTCACCAGGTGGGTTTATGGCAAAGCAGGAATGAGATCAGCTCTCCCCCCTCCCTGTGAGAGCTTTTCTTTTGGCTTGGCTTCCTTTATTTCTCCTGCCACCTTTCCCTGGTTTTGGAGAAAAAAAGCAGTGAGAGATAACAAGAACTTTTAAAACTTATTTGATGTGGGCAAAATACAGGAGGGGCCTAAGGAGCTGCACACACAGTAGCAGGACTGCAAGGGATACTGAGTCAGTTTGCTGATGATACTAAATTGGGAGGAGCTGTTCAGTGCATTTTAGGCAGAGAGACCCTGACAAGTGTGAGGGCTGGGCAGCCCTGGGGTGTTTAACGAGGGCAGGTCCTGGATCCCTGTCCCTGGATGCAGGGACAGACTGGGGAATGAGAGGCTGGAGGGAAGGGCCCTGGGGGTCCTGGTCAGTGGCCAGTTGGATCAGAGTCAGCAGAGTGTCCTGGCAGCCCAAAGGGCCACCCTGTCCCGGGGGGCATCAGGCCCAGCATCGCCGGCCGGGCCAGGGAGGGGATTGTCCAACCCTGCTCTGACCTGGGGCGGCCTCACCTCGAGTCCTGGGGGCTGTTTGGGGGCCACAGTGTCAGAGGGATCTGAAGCTGTGGGAGAGTGTCCAGAGGAGGGACACGGAGCTGGGGAAGGGTCTGGAGGGGAAGGGTCTGAGGAGCAGCTGAGGGCACTCGGCTGGTTCAGCTGGAGCAGAGGAGACTGAGGGGAGACTCCTCGGGGGCTGCAGCTCCTGCCGAGGGGAGGCGGAGGGGCAGGGACTGAGCTCTGCTCTGGGACCAGGGACAGGACCCAGGGAAGGGCTGGAGCTGTGCCGGGGGGGTTGGGATGGATCTCAGGGAAAGGTTCTTCCCCCACAGGGTGCTGGGGCACTGCCCAGGCTCCCCAGGGCAGTGGGCACGGCCCCAAGGCTGCCAGAGCTCCAGGAGCGTTTGGACAACGCTCTGAGGGACAGGGGGGGATTGTTGGGGTGTCTGGGCAGGGCCAGGGGTTGGAATTGATGATCCATGTGGGTCCCTTCCAGCTCAGGGTATTCTGGGATTCTATGATAGTCAAAATTTTCCCTAATCTGAGGTGGTGAAACATTTCACAAAGGAGCCACAGTCAAAGCACTCGCCTTGTTCTCTGCCTGGACAAACAGCCCTGCTTGCGTTCGTGTCTTGAGTTAGGAGGGGAATGTTGTCCCTTGAGCTGACACTGGGCATTTTGTCTGTGAGATCCTGGTGAAGAAAAGCTCCAACTGTCTCCAGTGGACTCCTGAGTCATGTGCATTGGACTGTAAACTTTGGAGTTATTCATTGACCACGGATGAACACACTGGAAAAAGGAAGTTCACTTCACACCGTGGTTTCCTTGGGGGCTGTGGGATTTTCCTCCCTCCACAAGCAGTGGGTTATAGAAGAAAACATCTCTGCAGCGGATTGCAGGGTGTTGGATTTTGTCTATTCCCAATTAAACTGAAAATGTTCTGGTGAATAGAGAGCTGATTTATATATTGAGAGAGACTATTTTGAGGGCGTGTAGTGACAGGACAAGGGGGAGTGGCTTCAAACTGAGAGTAGGTTTGGATTAGGTATTGGGAAGAAATTCTTCCCTGTGAGGGTGGGGGGGCCCTGGCACAGGAGAAGCTGTGGCTGCCCCTGGATCCCTGGGAGTGTCCAAGGCCAGGTTGGACAGGGCTTGGAGCAACCTGGGCTAGTGGAAGGTGTCCCTGCCCATGGCAGGGGGTGGCACTGGATGGGCTTTAAGGTCCCTTCCATCCTAAACCATTCCATGATTTTAAGTGTTGTTATCTTGCCCAAGTCCACATGGGGTTGGATAATACCTGTTTCTGTACCTGCTTTTGCTGTAATCTAGTCCCTTATCCTGGGATCTTGCAGCTGGAGCTTGGCTTGAGGATGTTTCGACTGCACAGTGAGACTTTCCCTCTAAAGGAGTTTTAGCCACTGACCATCCAGGCTGAGCCCTGTCATCACTTATTAGACACAAAACGTTTCCCTGGCTGTGCAGCTGAGGCCTGTTATCCCCAGGCCCTGGAGCTAAGGGTTTGCAGGAATCCTGCCCAAATTAAGTGGTGAGCTGGGAAATAGCAACTCCTGTGCAAGTGTATCCCCGAGCTCTGAACAGAAACACCAGTGGGTTGGATCCTGGAGTTCAGGTTCGTTCCCACAGAAGGTTTGGGCTCATCCATGGGGGAAGCTCCCGTTTCCTTTTGCTGGGAGCTGGGATGGAGTCTCAGTGCAGCTGAACTAGTGGAAGGTGAACACATCTTAGGAACTGATTATCCACTGTCAAACTTGGTTGTATGTGCTTGTCCTTGTGGAGGGAAATATCCTTAATGCTGTTTTGTGGGTCCAAACCATGTCTTTCTGTAGGGAAGTTAGTTGTCCCTGGAACTTCTGTGCCATTACCCATGGAAGCAAAGGTGGCTGAAGAGGGGAATATCCAGAAGTTTCTGTCATAGCTTCTGTAAGTGATAGTCCCAGAATATCCTGAGTTGGAAGGGACCCACAGGGATCATCGAATCCAACTCCTGGCCCTGCACAGGACACCCCAGATTCATGTTCTTTGTCTTCAAAGCACCAAAGGCTGAGGCTTGTTAGGAGAGGAGCAGGGGGATGAGCACAGCTGGGTGAAATGAGAGGGGAGTGCACCAGAAGGTGCTTTCTCTGGGGTTTTTATCTATTTATTTGAGCTAAAGCCACTCACCACAGTCTCCTTGAGACAGAAGGGCACAGGAGAACCACTGCTGGGCATGGGGGCACCACCAACCCAGGAATGTGTCCCTCACTGTCCTCCTGATCCCTTTTCCAGTGGGCAGACTGATGCCTCCCACCTCTCTGTAGGACACTGGCACTGAAGTGTAGGGGCTAAATAATCCTCTTCTGAAGAAGGACCTTGCTTGTTGGCTCATTTTTTTGGTGAAAGATCCCTTTCTCTTCGTGTGTCACCATAATTGGTGTCATTTGTTTTTCCCCCAAAATTTACAGATCTCAGCCTGCACAAGGGTGGGATGAAGCTTTAATTGTGTTCTTAACTGTCTTCACATTTTATCTTCTAGTAAAAAAATTTAAAAATGCAAAGCAAAAGGGTCCCACTTCTAAACCATGAGTTCTGAGACGCTGTCAGACCCCGGGTGCTGTGGGACAGCCCGGAGGCTTTGGCTGGGACAGGGATCCCTGTGTCCTGTCCACACTCTGGGGCTTTCTATGGGCTGGTCCAGGAAAATAACATGTTCTCTGTGTAGGTATAGTTAAGCTTGTACATAACTGCATCTCTGCACACAAGAACAATCTGCCCCTGCAGGTCCTGGTTCTTCTCCCAGTGCCGTTGTCTCCGAGGGCTGGGCTGGAGGAGCTCAGTTCGAAAGGAAAGCAAATGCAACCCCAACAAAACAATGGTGCCAGTGTCAACTCTGCAGCCTCCAGACCTTCCCAGGGCACACAGGAGGACAGCAGGGAGGTGCAGCAAAGGGAAAGGAGCTGCTGGAAATCCCGAGGGATTTGGATCCAGCGCGGCCGTTCCGGCCCCGGAGCTGCGGCTGCTGTCGGTGCTGGCCGTGCTTTTAGGGGCAGTTTTTAGAGTGCCTTCATTGCTGGTGCTCCTGTCAGACCCCACAGTGCTGGTTTGGGGGGTTGGTTTGTTCTGAGCTCCCATTCTGGAGTTGGCAGGTGGGGACACAACGTGTTTCATCCTTAAGGAAGAAGGGGTGGAACGAGAGCTCGGCACAGACCTCTCTGTGCCTTTCATCCTGTGGGATCAGCTCTGCCAAATCAGCAACACAGCTGGTGCTGGGTAAACCAGTGCTGGTGCTTCCCAGGATTTGCCTCTGCCAGATTTACAGTGGAGGTAACAGGAAGAATGAACCTGTGTTTTAGGAAGGGTTGTGCAGAATGATTAAAGCACTGAGGGGTGTTGGGTTTGGTGCCAGCTGAATACTGTTTTTGTTTTGCCAAGCTAACAGGGATTATCTGTTTGTTCCAGGAGCTGGGAAGGAGCACAGAGAGCCAGGAGCCAACACATCATCTCAACACCTAAATGAAGCTTTAAGTCTGGTGAGCTCACCAATGTCTCTTCCGTGTTGGAGCTCTGCTGGGTCCCACCCTGCCCTGTGTGGAAGGTGCAGATGTTCTGGCAGGGGCTCCCTGAGCATCCTCAGCCTCTGCCAGGGGCTGCCAAGAGCACATTTGTTGGCTGCTGGATAAGACAAACCTTGCAAGTGGCTGCCAGAGGGGCTGCCAGAGCTTTCTGTGAGCAAGGAGAAATCAGGATCCCTTCTCTGATGTTCCAAACTTCCTGTTTTGGGTGATTGGAGAGGAGTGGTTTGTGGTGGGAACCATGGGCTCTCTGTCACACACTGTGCTGGAAATCCTTCCAGTTCCAGCAGGTTCTCTGGGTGCTGGCTGCTGCCACGTGCTGACCTGGTTTTTCTCTCTCCAACAGATCTGTTGCTCTTTCTGAAACCTCCCCAGGGAACACTCCCAACAGAAATGGCAGGTAAGAGCACCTCCAGTATGGCAAAGGAGGGAGGGTGGTTTCCAAAAGCATTGTCCATTGTGCTGTGGTGGCTGTGACACATCAGGAACGTGAGCTGTGTCCCTTCCCGAGATCTTGGTGCTCCCTAAAGCTCTTCAGCTGCTTCTCTTGCCTGGGGCAGGTTCACTTTCCTGCTGTGTCCTCTGGGGATCTGTCACCTGAGGTCACTGCTCGAGTGCTAAAGGCTCAGGTGAGACTTGCTTCAAAAGTTTCAGGAGGATGGAATTTATTCACCAAAAACTCCCTGGGAATAATCCCTTCCTTGCAGAGGCTTTGCACAGCACTCCCAGCTGTGCTATTGGTGTTGGTCCATCTGAATTTTACTTTAGTGAAACCAGCAACAAAATTGCAGCTTTTTTGAGGTAGGAGGAAGTGTGGAACTCTCCTGCAGCTGCTGCTCCTTGGGGCTGCAGTTTGGTTTCTGAGAGCACGGGGTGTGTCTGCTGATGCAGGGTGTTGATCCCTGCCTTGATGGGAGAGCTGCAGCACTCCAAGCTCTGCAGTCAGACATGAAAGGGGATGTTTTAATTCCATTTCTTTTGTCTGATCTCAGAAGTAACCCAGAGCAGTTGGAAACCACAGTTGGTCTCTGGGTGGGAGGAGGTGGGCAGGAGCAGAGAGGAGGTGGAATCCCCATCTCTGTGTACCTAGCAAACAATTTGGGGCATTTTATGAGCTTCAGAAATGACAGACTGCAGTGGCTGGTTGGTTTTGGCCCCACCATCTGCATTAGAAACTGGCAGCAGCTCTGCTGCCCACGACAGAAAATGGGAGGTAACAGAGCCACAGGAACAATCTGCAGCTTCAGCTGTTGAAGAGGGACAGAACAAAAGTTTCCTCATCCCTCAAAAAAAACCCCAAAGGTTATTAGAGAACCCTGTGTCTGATTAATCTGGTTCTCACTGACCTCCCTGGAGACCTGCCTGCTCAGCTTTAGGAGCTGTGCCCCCTCCTTTCCCTTGGTCCAGCCTTGGGAAGTCCCTTTCCAGGCTGCAGGGACACACTGTGCAGGAGAAACCCTGTTAGGTGTTTACAGCAAACAAAAAATCAGTGCCAAGGAGTCCAAATTCCTGTGGACTTGGACAGCACCTGGTGGGGTTTGTTCATCCATGTGCTGGGGGCAGCAGCAGGGGTTAACCAGTAACTGCAGCCAGCTTAGGGGGCACCTGAATCAACCTAAAATGGGTTTGGGGGAGGAGGGGCAGAGGAATTAATGTTTGTTTTCATGAGGAAAAGTCAAACTGGGCTGGTGGCTGCAGCTGTTATTCCACAGTTGCTTCTGATGTGCCCCCAGTGGGAGTTCTCCTCACCAGATTTTCCGTGTGAAAATATGCATGAGGGGAAGGCTCTTCCTTCCTAAAGCCTGGCTTAAGCTTTAGGCTCTTCCCTGCCGACCTTCAAACGAAGCTCAGGAGCTGCTCCTGCAGATTGTCTTCTCCCGTGGAGATAATGGGAAGAGAAGGAACTCTTGTGCTGACAGTTCTTGTTCAGACATTTCCTCTCATCTCCTGTGCCATTTGGAGGTTTTCCCGGGACATTCCTCATCTCTTCCTCTGGTTGTTTTTAATTCTGTTTACTGGGGCTGAAGGAGACGAGAGACAATTAGTCACAATGCCCTGGAAGCAAACTTTAATCAGCTCTGCAAGGCAAGAGCAAACATTCCCAAACATGCAGGAACATCCAGGCACACACAGACAAATCTGGGAGCTGACAGCAGCTTCAGTGCAGAGGATTGGGGCATTTAATTACTTGATTTTAAAACATAATTTCTTCCCAAGGTAGGGTTTTCTTCACCACAGTGCCTTTGGCAGCACTTGCTGATTTATTGTCTCTGAATGCAAAGCTTTTTTTTTTTTTTTTTTTTTTTTTTTTTAATTTGCTTTTTTTTTTTTCCTCCTGGGATTTACCCTTGCAGGAAAAAAAATTGAACATACCCTTTTTTTATTGAAAATCACGAGCCTTTTAAAAAAAAAAAACATCCCTGACACAGAATCATGGAACCCCAGAACAGTTTGGGTTGGAAGGGACCTTAAAACTCATTCCATTTTTTCTGAGGAACCTCATCCTGGCAAGTTTTTTGTCTTGCAGCACCTTTTGTGTAAAGGCATTAAATCCACATGATGCTTATTAGGTTGTTCCTATTCCCCTCTCTCAACCTTGCATGTCCCAAAATAAATGTCCTCTGTGTTCTGTGTTGCAGAAAAGGTGAACAACTTCCCCCCACTCCCCAAGTTCATCCCCCTGAAACCCTGTTTCTACCAGAATTTCGCCGATGAAATTCCCATCGACCACCAGTTCCTGGTGAAGAGAATCTACCACGTCTGGATCTGTAAGTTCAGCAAGAAACCTGTGCTGGGGAAAGGTGTATGTGGGATAAAACCCCCAGAGATCCCAGTGGCTGATGTGCTTTGAAGTTTTGACTGTAATTAGTTGGTGAGGAGCAAGGATTCCTCTTGGAATACTGTAATATAGCTTGAATACTGTGATATAACTTCATGCCTAAACTTTGAGCTGCTGTGCCTTGAATCTTTGAAGAGTCTTGAAAGAGAGTATCAGTGCTAGAAGAGCCTGTTAGGAAATTTGAAGAGGGAACAGGCAGAATATGTTTGATGTCTTTATTAATATCAAGTGATCATGGAATCATGGAATGGTTTGGGTTGGAAGGGACCTTAAAGCTCATCCCATCCCACCCCCTGCCATGGGCAGGGACACCTTCCACCAGCCCAGGGTGCTCCTTTGATCCAGCCTGGCCTTGGACACTTCCAGAGATGGGGCAGCCACAGCTGCTCTGGGAAACCTGTGCCAGGGCCTTCCCATCCTCACAGCCAACAATTCCTTCCCAATATCCCATCTATCCCTGCCCTCTGGCAGTGGGAAGCCATTCCCCCTGTCCTGTCCCCCCAGGCCCTTGTCCAAAATCCCTCTCCAGCCTTTTTAACTGTCCAAATTATCCACCCAGTTCCCCTAAAGTGAGACAAATGGGAGAATTTTAGGCAAGAAAATCAACGTGGCCCCTTTGCTGCTCCCTGGCTCCCAAACTCCCTCTGGGAAGGCTCAGGCTTCCCCTTGTGCCATCCACAGATCTCCCTTCCCAATGGATGCAGTGTCCTCTAGCCACGTGCTGGCTCTGCCTTAGCTCTCCACAGCCCCCCAGGGCATTCCCCATCCTGCTGGAGCAGGAAGCTGATCCTCTCTCCATCCCAGCTGATATTCCATGGGAACAGAGCTCCTGGCTCTGGGCTCCTGTTCTCTGCCTCAGCCATTCAAAAAAACTGGGAATAAAAATTGACCATTCTTCTCCAAGGAATGGAATCAGTGTGGCAGGCCTAGGAAACCACAGGGAATGCTTTGGGAGATTAAAAAAAAACCCTCTTTGCCTTGCTTATCTTTTTTCCCCCAAATGCTTGTTCATCCTCTTTTCCCCCTCCTCGCCCAAGGAAAGCTCGTTTTCTGCCAGCCCTGCACTCGGTGGCGTGGCTTTTATTCCAGATGCACGGGATGTGTGTAGGAGAGGGATTTGTGTGCATAAATAATGGCATAATCCGTGGCTCCATTGTTCTTTGGTTATGTGGAGCTGCTGCAATGAGCTCTGTAATTCTCTTGCCTGAAGAAGCTGCTTGTCCCTCCAGACTCACTGGGCCGATGCTGCGGCTCTAAAGCCTCTTTTGTCCTCCCCTGCCCCCGAACAAAGAGTCCCTCAGTGGAGTTAATGGCAGGCTGGAAGGGTGCCAGGGATTTGGGCACGGCCAGGAGACCTCCATCTGCACCAGGAGTTTCACATTTCCATCTGCAGCGTCGGGGTCTCCCCGATGTGTGGGTTTTTGGCAGGGGATGGAGGGAGGGACACGCACAGGGAAGGTGGTAAGCGAGAAAAAAAGGCCAGTTTTATAAAGCAGCAGCACAAAAGTCGTTGCTGGGAGGGTGAGGGCTCGTTATTTTAATTGGATGTGAGTGTTTGGTTGAGGTGGAGGGGGTTTGGGGAAGCCTGGACCAGAGCTCCCACTGCTGGAGAACAAACTCCAACCTGAGGCACTGGGAGAGCACTGAAACTTTACTGAAGTAAACTAAAAGTTCCTTAAAACTTTATAGGTGCTCTTGGCTTGGTGGTGTTGGTTTGTTTGTTTGTTTTTTAATTATGTAACTTTTGGAGAATAAATTACTTCTGAAAATAAGAATTAGAAGTGCAGCTAATTGCTGTATAAATGAAATTCCATAGAATCCCAAATTGGTTTGGGTTGGAAGGACCTTTAAACTCATCCAGTTCCACCCCGTGCCCTGGGCAGGGACACCTTCCACTAGACCAGGTTGCTCCAAGTCCCATCCAGCCTGGCCTTGGAGACTTCCAGGGATGGGAAGTTAAACCTGTATTTAAGCCTGTTAGTTTAAATACCTAAAATTAATTAATTTAAATAAATAATGTTCTTTCTTCCCCCCAGTATTAAACCACATCCAAACCAGGGTGTATAAAGCCTTGTTGGCCACTCAGAGGAATTTCTCTTTGCAGTAAGCAATGTTTAATTTTAACTCTCAGGCCCTGTGTGAGGCAGAAGCAGCAGCTGAGTTCAGGTGCTCTCCTTTCCACACTGCATTCTCCTCACGGGGCTGTTGGTGTTATTTGATGACCATAAAACCTTGTAGCTGTTTTAGGACCCCCCAGGCTGTGTGAAGAGGAGGAAAGGGAGGAGCCAGAAGGAGCAGGCCAGTGATGTGCAGATGAGCTGCAGAGCCACAGCGTGTAGTGGAACAAGGAACAGGCAGGACAGGTGAAGAGAAATTCAGGGATTTAATTTTGCCCAGAGAGCTGAGGCCAAGGTCCAAAGAGTCACTGTTAGCTCATCCCCAGCTGTGCTGGAGGGTCTTTGCTGTTTGGACCCTCCACCTCCTCCTTCCTCTGTGCTCATTTATACAGGATTTTAGGAGTTACCCCCTGTTTTCCAAAGCAGGAGCTTTAAGTTGGGCTGAGGCTCTCTTGGACACTGGCAGAGCCTGGGGGGCTGCAGGGAGGAAAGCAGGGAGCCCCTGGCATGGGGCTGAGCCCAGCCTGCCAAAGCTGGGGGGGAGCAGCCCCCTTTTCCAGGGATGTGAGCTCCAGGGAAAGGGGGAGCAGCATCACTTCATGCACAGCTACTTAGTGCAGCACTGCTGTGCTCTGGGGGCCTTTGTCAACTGTTCCTTTTTATCCAAGTGACAGGAACAGGGATGTGAAAAGGCCTTTAAGGCACCCCCATGGTCCCATATTCTCAGCCTGATTGGAGTTTGCTTATCCCCTCACTCAAGGCAGCACTTCCAAGGCCTCAGGCTGACTTCCAGGATTCCTCAGAGGCCCAGGGAAGCGGAGACAGAGCCTGCAAGGCACTGAGCTGGCTCTGAAGCAGCTCCTGAGGCAGCCCCAGCGAGCAGAGTCAGTGTGGGTTCACCCCTCTCCTCTCACAAAGGGGGTTTGCTACAAATGGAAATTGGACCTTGCTCCCAAGTCATGATAATACTGACCTGAGTCTTGTGTTGGTTGCACTGGTTGCTGCTGTCTCTCCATCCTCTGGCAGGTCCCAAAAGAGGTCCCTCGTCCCTGTGCTGCAGGATCCCCCCAGAGCTGGGTGTGCTCCGGGGTCACACGGGAATCTGTGACTCGCTCTGAGCTGCTGCATTGCTGGGCTTGAGCTTCCCACTGCCCCAGGGGCCCTTCCCATTAGAGCACAGGGGGTTTCACAGAATCCTGGGATACCCTGAGCTGGAAGGGACCCACAGGGATCATCCAGTCCAGCTCCTGCTCTGCCCAGGACACCCCAGCAATCCCCCCCTGTCCCTCAGAGCGTTGTCCAAACGCTCCTGGAGCTCTGGCAGCCTTGGGGCCGTGCCCACTGCCCTGGGGAGCCTGGGCAGTGCCCCAGCACCCTGTGGGGGAAGAACCTTTCCCTGAGATCCATCCCACCCCCCCTGGCACAGCTCCAGCCGTTGTTTTTCGTTTCCTTTCTTTGCGAAGTGGTGAAGCTGCCCCACCCCACGCTCTGTCCTCTGCCCTCTCCCCAGTTTACTGCATCACCCTGGCAGTGAACATCGTTGCCTGCCTGGCCTGGTGGATCGGGGGAGGCTACGGGGTCAACTTTGGCCTGGCCATCCTGTGGCTGCTCCTCTTCAGCCCCTGTGGCTACGTCTGCTGGTTCCGACCTGCCTACAAAGCCTTCCGGTGAGTAGGAGCCCTCGAGGGGCTTCTCTTCCAGTTCCCTCTGGGAGAGACCTGTGTTGTTGCTGGGAAGTGCTCCTGGAGAGATCTCTGTGTCTGGGGTAAAGATTTTTTATTTTTTTTTTCTTATTTACTTTCAAAATGAAGAAGAATGTGGTTACTTTTTGTAGGACTGAGGGTCACCTGCCTGGGGCTGGAGGTGAGCAGCCACTCCCATGAGGGTGAAATTCATGTTTTACTTAAATATCTCAAGCTTAGCTGCACCCTCATCTCAGCACAGCATTAAAATACATACTAATTTGGTAGAGCTTCATTGAGGCTTATTTTGATGGAAGACTATTAACTTATTAGTTTTTGAGAACTCTTGTGGTTTCTTGAGCAGCTCGAGAGCTTGGCTGCTTTGCTTTTTAGATAAAAGCAGTTCCCTGGAGCCAGTCCTTCTGCAACTCCACAAATATTTAAAGCCATCCTACATTTTCACTTTAATTAATAATCATTTGCATTTGCTCACGCTTGCTGTGGACAGGAGGCATCACTCAGACATTAATGTGTAATGCCTGGCAGAGCTGTGAGGGGCCTGAGCAGCTTCCAGCCTGACACAGGGACAGGAGGGACCTGCCTGGGACCACCACCCCCCAGGCAGGGGTTTGCACCCTGAAGGTGAAGCTCTTTCTGGTAGAATGCTCTGGATTTTGATTATTCACCAGGTTCTGTGATGAGCTGGTTTGGGTAACAGCAAAAGCAGCTGATGGAAATGGGAGGTGGCAGGTGGGTCCTGTCTGTTTGGCACATCATAAATTAGTTGTTTAAATGCTCTTCTGGGTTTGTGTGCCAGCAGCACTGGGCAGTGCTTGAATCACCAGTGACTCCATCGTGGAGTACAGGGGAGGATTATTCCTGGTGGAAAAGGAAGTTCTAAATGACCTGAAAACTCCAGCTCTGAGCTTTTGCCCTCTGGGGCTGGGCTTTGTCCCCATCCCGAGCCCAGAAGCCCAAGGGCCTCTGCTCAAAGAGGAATTTCCATTCTGAAGTCTGGGAAAAATTACTCCTCCCCCCTGCCCTCCCCTGTGCTCCACGAGGGCTGTTTCTAATTATTCCTTTAATGTTGTTTGTACGTGTTTATGCAACTGAATGCTGGAAGGTCCCCGAGGTTACTCTGTGCACAGTTAAATAAGGAATCACCCCCGGGACAGAGTGGGGAGCCCAGGGATCATCCACTGGGACATCAGCTGGCAATCACTGCAGTGCTGCTGTGGGATCACAGCTAGTGATTCCAGAGGCCAGGGCAGCCCCACGTGCTCTGGGGGAGGCCACCCTTCAGGGCTGGCATCCCGTCCTGCACGGATGCTGCCCTAAAACCCTCGTCATCCCAGCACATCCCAGATTGAATTAACTGCAGAGCCCTGGCACAGAGCTGGAGCCAATCTGCTCCAGAAAGCTGGATGAGGAATCACCTTTTCTCTGTATCCTCACTAATTCCTGCAGATCCTTTCAACTGAAGACTCCTCCAGCCCCTTCAGGTTGGAGTTGCAGGAGCCTTGTTTGAAGGCTCAGCCTCGAGCCTAATCCCTGTTAATTGGATTCCAACAGGCACCACTGTGAGCAGGCCCTGTTTAAAGTATTTCTTTCACATGGCTGTGCTCTGAGGTGGTATTTGAAGGGCAGGACTGGGAGGATGGTCAAGGATGACAAAACTCCCACAGCATCTCCGTGGCCACCATTTGGAAGCTGGCAGGTGCCTGGACCAGCACAGGTCTGGCTGGAGGCTTTTCCATGTGTCTCAGACCAGCCAGGATCCAGAGCTTGGGGTCCCACTTCCTTGGGTATCAGGGGCTAAAATTATGACACTAACAAACATAAATATAATAAAAATAATTGAAATAATAAACATTTAAACACTGTCAGGGTTTAAGCAGGAGCTGGCAGTGGCTGGAGCTCCTTTGCACCAGGCTGCCTCATAATTAACTGCTTTGTGTAAATCTGCTGTACAAAATCGTTGGCACTTTGAGTTCCTGAGAGGATGGGAACCATTTGTATAATTAAAAATGGTAGTTTGGGGAGTTTTAGATGTGCCTGACGTGACTGGTTTAATGGGATGGAGATGTTCTGTGGCAGAGCCCCCAAGTGCCCCCATGACAGAGACCTTGAGTGCACCTGCTCAGCCTCTTGCTGGGGTCATTTTCATGCTAATTATTGTACCTGCATAAATTCCAGGACCTCACCTGTACATCCTGAGGATGGGGAGCCTGCAGAGATGGGAGTTGTGCCTCTGCTGTCAGGGCACCACCCACCTCCCTCGTGGCTGTTTTCCCTCCTAGTGTGTCCCAGTGCTGGATTATTAACTGTGGGCGTGTGAACATGATGACAGGCAGGCACTGAGACATTCCCAGCTGGAATTCTCATGCTCAGGGATCCCTTTCAGTGTGTGGACAAGCTCTGCCTGCCAGTGGCAGGTCCCCATGTGCCTCCTTGCCAGTGGCTGAGCTGGTGGGCAGTGTCAGGCTGGGCTGATGTTTGCTCAGGGAATGATTCAAACACTGTACAGGAACCTTGTGTCTCTCCTTGTGTGTCACCATAGTGCAGTTACTGGGGTAGAGCAATTCAGGAGCTGGGTTATGGGGAGGGAATAGGTGCTGCTGAGTGATGGAGCTGTGTGCTCTCCCTGCCTGGGGCAGAGGAGGAGCCTCCCAAGCACAGGGATCCCTCCGGAGACACCACGCTGGGGGGGCAGACACCAGTGTGAAGGAAAACAAGGTGCCAGTGCCCCCCTGACCTCCTGTGTCCCTCTGCAGGTCAGACAGCTCCTTTAACTTCATGGCCTTTTTCTTCATCTTCGGGGCACAGTTCGTCCTGACGGTGCTGCAGGCGATCGGCTTCTCCGGATGGGGCGCGTGGTGAGTGGGATGCTCTGACTGCAAACACTCAGCCTGGGGCTGTTCCCCCTTCTTTTTTGAGAAGCTGGTGGGAGTCTGTACAGGGTGGAGTGGGAGAAGCTTTCAGTTTTCCCTTGTGCACAGTTATATCAGCCCCTGGGGTGCACAATTCGGGTTTCTTCGCTGTGGTGGCAGAAGTCAAGGCCAGGTTGGACGGGGCTTGGAGCAGCCTGGTCTGGGGCCAGGTGTCCCTGCCCGTGGCAGGGCATGGGACTGGATCTTTAAGGTCCCTCCCAACCCAAACCATCCTGGGATTCTGTGATCTTCACCTGTTTGTTCTTTCTGGCACCTTCCCCCAGTGCCCATTTCTTTCACCATTTAACCAGGCTCAGCCTTGCCCTCCGTGTTGGCAGTGCCCGGTGAGCAGGGTGGGATGACTCACTGTTGGCCTGTGGAGAAGTATTGTGAGAGTTCTCCTAAGATAAATGGGAGTGTGTTGGTGTCTGTCCCTGGTTATGTTATAATTGTTTCCCTGAATCCCAGAATTTGCTGAGCTGGAAGGGATCCTCAAGGATCATCAGTCCGACCCTCAGCCCTGCACAGGCCCATCCCCAGGAGTCACACCATGGGCCTGAGAGGATCATCCAAACCCTCCTGGAGCTCTGGCAGCCTTGGTGCATTTGTTTGGCATTTTAACTTCCTGCTGAAAGGACAAGTCGTGCAAAGGCCCAGCATACCCTGGAACACTTTGCTGTCATAGCTGTGATGCCCTACCTGGCTATTGCCATCCAAGGAATGGAGGTGGAGTGTAAATCAGAGGACCCTGGTGTTCCCTGATGCCAGTTCTGATCTCTGGGTGCATAACCAAAAGCACCTTGGGAATAGACCTTCTGTCCCCAAACTCCATGCAGCTGGCTGCCCCTTAAAGCTCTGAGGCTGGATTAGCAAGGGGTGCTGGCCTCGTTAAGAGTTAAGAGCTTGGGGAAATACCTGCCTTTCGTTCTGTCCATTTTCCTCATGGCTCTTTTCATTTTCAAGAGCTTTAAAGCTGCCTTGTAACTTCTGGGCTATGAAGCCCAGAATGGTTTGGGTTGGAAGGGGCCTTAGAGCTCATCTCATCCCACCTCCTGCCACGGGCAGGGACACCTTCCACCTTCCACCGTCCCAGGTTGCTCCTTTGATCCAGCCTGGCCTTGCACACTTCCAGGGGTGGGGCAGCCACAACTCCTCTGGGAAACCTCTGCCAGGGCCTCCCCACCCTTATAAGCGAGCAGACAGTTTCTCTGGTAACAAGGACACTTTAAAAAGGGAGTTGTAATGACACTGCCTCTCTCTCTGTGTCTCCTGCAGTGGGTGGTTGGCAGCCATCACCTTCTTCAGCACCAGCGTCGCCGCCGCCGTGTTCATGCTGTTCCCTGCCATCATGTTCACCCTGTCGGCCGTGGCCATGCTCATCTGCATCCTAAGGGTGGGTTCTTCCTGGGGGAGGTGTCCCTGCCCACGGCAGGGGGGTGGAATGGGATGGGCTTTATGCTCCCTCCCGGCCCAAACCATCCTGGGGTTCTGTGGCTCTTCAGGTCTGTCTCTGACTTGGGTTATCTGCCTTTTGTGTCGCGACAGTGTGGAGAGGCAACTCAGCCACTGCTGCTTAGAAAGGCTGTTCAGTGCAGTCAGCTGGTGTCTCTTAAAGTTCCTGGGAGACAAATCCAGACGGCACAAGACAGCTCAGGCTGGGCATTGTCACCGTGTCGTGTGGCGATGTCACTTCACGTCCCTCAGCACAAGCTTCGTGTGAAGCAACGTGAAGCTGCGTGAAATGGGGAGGTTTAGATTGGATATTAGGAACACTTTTTTCATGGAAAAGGTTGTAAAGCACTGGCACAGCTGCCCAGGGCAGTGGTGGGGTCACCATCCCTGGAGGTGTTCAGACAACGTGTGGATGTGGCCCCTGGGGACATGGTGTGGTGTTGGTGTGGGGCTCATGGTTGGACTTGGTGATCTTAAAGGTCTTTTCCAACCTTAACGATTCCTTAATTTCCCCCTGCAGTGGGGACTGGGTGGCAGGGTGGGAAGTGGTCCTCTGCAGAAAGAAGGATTTGGAGGTAGGACTGGCTGGAGAGCTTTGGCAGATGGAAGAGGAGGGGAGAAGACAGAAGCCCTGTGGAAGCAGCTGTGTCATGTTGGAGAGGTTTCAGCCCTCTGGCTGCCTTGCTGGAAGATCCCTCACCTCAGTCTTGGGCATGTGGCTGAAATGGGTCCAAGTCTGGTGTTAATACTATTTATTTCCACCCCTGTTCACTGTATTACTGCATTTTTAGTGCTTTTGTTCCTCAGAAATCCAGCTGACAGAGAGAGGAACAAATCCTTGACCAGGTGGCTGCAGCTCTGCAGAGCTGAGGGCTCCTGGTGGTGACTCCTCCTGTTCTCCCTTCCATCCATCAGGTACATAAAATCTACCGAGGGGGTGGTGGAAGCTTCCAGAAGGCTCAGGACGAGTGGAACAGCGGTGCCTGGAGGAACCCTCCCAGCAGGGAGGCCCAGTACAGCAATTTTTCTGGGAACAGCCTGCCAGAGTATCCCACAGTGCCCAACTACCCCCCAGGAAACCAATGGCCTTAAGCAGCAGCAGCTGCAAACTGCCTGGATTCTCTCCTTTTTGGTCTTTTAATTCTTGTTATTGGAAAAGATCATTTGCATTCCCTCCCCCAGGCACCCCAGTCACCTTTTTGGGACCTTTTTGGTTCTTGTCTCCTGGTCCCTGTGGAAGATCCTGTCAGCCCTTCCCACCTCCACTGCACGGCCGTGGCACAAAGCTTTTTTTTGCCTTGAGCTACCAGTATTTGCCTCGTTGCAGACTGAGGAACAAACCCTTCAACAACTGCCCTTCCTCGAGGGAATCCTCTCCTGACCATCCCTGAAAAAGGCTCAGCTTCCCCCAATGGCAACACTAACCACAGCTGCTCCTGCTCAGCTTCCCTGGAATGCACAGCACCCCGCAGCAATCACAGCTTTAGTAGCAACTGGTGTTTACTCTCCTGGATGAATAATGTGGAATTTTTCACTCTAAGGGAAATGCAAGACTTAAATTCTTTGGTACTAGTGATAGGGAAGGGATCTGTGAAACCCCCGCCCTCCCCGCCGGGAACGGGAGCTGTGAAGGCCACGAGAGCCCTCCTTTGCCTGGCTCAGACTGCTGTGATGCTCCAAGTCCTGCCTCCCCTGCTGCCAAAGCTTTTTGCCGGATCTTTGTGCTTCAAAAGGTGCAGATTCATCTCATGAGGTTGGTGGTTGCTCACTGGAATCCGGCACCGAGCCGGCCCTGAGGACGTGCCCCCCGTGCAGGGCTCAGCACCAGAGCTCCCCACCACGGACCTTCCAGCCAGGCCTTGTGCTGCCCTGAGAAATGCCCCACCAGACACACCTTGTCCTGTTGGGGGTCCCTTTTCCAGGGCTCCCTTTCCCTGGGCTCCCAGCCAGAGCCAGAAGGAGGATAAGGCTGGATCTCGGTGCTGGGCCCCCAGTGCGGTTTGGAAGCGGTTCTGTTACAATGAATGGTTTAATTCTGCCTTCTGCTGATGGGCTTGGACTCCAAACATTACAGTGGGGGCTGGGAGGACCAGGGAGGGCTCTTAGTGTGAGCTGGGCAGTCCTGGTCTGCAGCACTTCCCTCCCAGGAGAGGGAGGTTCCTGCCTTTCTCCAAGGATCAGCTGGAGGGAGGATGAAGCTGTTGAGAGGGATTGTTTTCCCTGGCTCTGCCTCATCGTTCATCTCCATTCTGTGCCTGCACATCAGGGCTCCTGGAGCCTGAGCCATCCAATTCCCTGTGTCCTGTCCTGATCCAGGCAGCAAAGGCTGCGGTTTCCTCTTCTCCCTCAAAACCTGCTGTGATGTTTTTTTCAAACTTGTCCAAACTGGGAGGTCAGTCCCCAATATTTTTATAGAGAGTGAGTGTCCCAAGCCTTTGGCTCTCAAATTTTTGGCCAACGATCCAGAGTGCTCCATGTGGGGGATCTGGGAGGGGTTGGAGTTCCCAGAGCCTGCTGCCCTGGCAGGCTGTCAGTGGGGTCACTCCAAAGCCACACTGAGCAGCTGGAGATCAGAACTGGCTCCTGGAAAAGGGACAGGGAGGTGGTCCTAGCTAGGTGGAATAGATTTGCAAGTGATCTTTTGAATATTTTCTCTACATGTGCCTTATCTAATGGAATCATAGTTCATGGAGGAGAATCCCCTTCCCCTCATCCCTGCGGAATTCCCCATTAACTCGTCCCGTGTCACTGTAAGTAATGAGGGAAGCACAGCCTGGAGTCTGCATGACCCATGTTTCCAGGGCCAAACTGGAGGGCAGAGCCTCCCTGAATTTCAGTTTACAAGCAGCACTGACCCCCCCCTGCAGGACCAGGCTCTGGGACACGGAACGTGCTCCCAACACTGGGGGTTCTTCCTGGCGAGCGTGAGATGTGCTTGGGAGCACGGAGTGCTTGGAGCCTCCTTACCAGAACACATTGTGAAGCTTTTTCGGTGCCTTTGTCTTGTGTCAAGTGTAATTTTAAGTGTTCTTTGTCGCTTGCCATCGGAGTGATACAAGAACTGCCTGGCGTTGACTCCCTGGAAATACGATGGATGCACTACGGGGTGAGGGGGACTGATGGGCTTGAAGGTGGCACTGGACACCCTTGGGTGCCCCATGTCCTGGCTCTCATGCTCCTTGGTCCTGCCTCTCAGCCTCTTGCCAAAATTCTTCAAACCCCATTGTTTTTCTGCTGTTTTTTAGCGCGTCAGGTCAGAGGTTCCGAGGGAGCCGAGAGGAGAAGCGTTGCTGGGGACTCCACATCCCGCCCCTCGCTGGGTTCCATGCATAATCTGGGGGGGCTGTGTTTAAGCTCCCACCCCCAGCCACACTGACAGTGCTTTGTGCAAGAGGAGGGGGTGCGTGGGAGCCGGAATGGCCGCAGCTGGACACCAAAACCACCCCCCATTAGCTCCGTGAACCCCCAGGCGGGATCTGCCACCTCGTCCCCCTCCCTCCTCCTCGATGCCACAAACCGTAATTCCAGAAAGTCGACCCCCCCACGCTGCCTGAACAACTTATTTTGTGGCTTTTTTTTTGTTTGTTTTGGGGTTTTTTTTTGGACTCCTCTGTATGTTTTTAAATGTTTACATTAGACTTCTAAGAGTTCTTAACCCCCCGGGCCGGGCCTGGCTCCTGCCCCGGCGGGCGTCACGTGGCCGTGGCCGTGTGCGATGTCTCGTGTCACCCGTGGAGCTCTGGCTTCTGTTTGTGTTTTTCTCCTGATCACAAGACAATAAATGCTCATCCTGTGCTTGATGAGGAGAACTGGCCGCATCGGGGAAGTGTCTGTTCCTAGGTAACCAGAGTTATCTGGCACAGGGAAATGGTAAAATCTCTCCTTTTCCTCCCAAAGTCTCCCACTGCGTGTTGTTTTTCGGGGAGAGAGCACGTTGATGGATGAGGCTCATCCTCTGTGCTGGGCACTGCTGGGAGTGGTTTGTGCTCTTAGAGAAAAGGCCTCACCAGCTTTTACCAAAGCTGCTGCCCGTTATTCTCATTTTCTGGCGAGAACAGGGAGCAGAGGTGGGTGGTGGGGAGAAACTCCCATCTCCCAAGCGCTGGGGTCGAGTTTTTCCTGCCCCCTCCACAGTCCTGGTGTTTGCCTTCCCCAGTTTATTGCCCCAGAGGAGACTCTTATCCCTGCAGTAAATGGGCTGTTGGACAGTGAGGGTGAGTCTGTTCAGCACGGGGCTGAAAATATTGCCCAGATTAGAATCCCAGAATGGTTTGGGTTGGAAGGGACCTTAAAGCTCATCTCATCCCACCTCCTGCCATGGGCAGGGACACCTTCTGCTATCCCAGGTTGCTCCTTTGATCCAACCTGGCCTTGGACACTCCCAGGGAACTCCAGGTGGGAATATGGGAGTTGCCATATTGTGGCTTCACACCCCAGTTGTGCTCCGTGGCAGATCTTTAATCCTAAAGGAGCTGTTTCAGTCACAGCTGCCAATGCAGCATCTGCCAATCTCAGTGCCTTCCTCACCCCCAAAGCCCTGTGCCAGGTGCCCCTGCCCAGCCCTCCCCACCCCACTCCCACAGTGGTTCCCTTCAGCTGCTGCTGTGCCCTGTGTTGAGCACTGGGATGAAAAGGATTTTACTTAAATTCTTGCTCCAGGCCCTCAAAATCTGAGCATGAGGCACATTTTCAGCTCCTGCTCCAGCTGCTGCTCAGGCAGGACCTCGGCCCTTGTGAGTTCTTTGACTCCCTCACCCTCGGGACAGGGCAGGATTTACCAGGAAGGTGGGAACGGGGGTGTTGTGCAGCCAAGCTCAACCCCCCCGCCCCAAGGAGCTCCCAAAAGGCTCAGGATCCCCAGGATCAGGGTGTGAGGGATGCTGCCAGAGCCTGGCTTTTCCTTTGTCTGGTTCTTGCTGTGTTTCTGTCCCTCTGCAGCCTCCCAGGCCCTGATGTCCTGCCCTGGGAAGGTGTCACCCACCTGCCCCTGGAGCAGCTCGTCCTCCCGTGCAGTCACAGTGGCTCCTTTGTGTTGTTGTCTGCTTGGGAATGAGCCCCAATTGTCCTGTGCCTGCAGAAGGGCAGGGTTTGGAGCTGGATGTTTTCCTGGCACAACTTCCCTGGCTTTCCTCACTCCCTGGTCCCACAGCATGAGCTGTTGTGTCTCTGCACACCTTTAGCACCCAGTGTGTTCACCGCTGCAGATTTGCCTTGAAATAAAGCCAGAACTCCTTTCTTTCCCCCCTCCTCTCCTGCTCCAGAGGATGGCTAAATTCTCCAGGCAAATGCCTGAACAACTGTGAGTTCTCAAAGTGCTCGAAATCGCGGGGTGGGGGGTGGTGCAAAGGGGGGGAGGGAGGGCGGCTCTGCCCTCGGGTGCTTCAGGGGTGATTTTCTCTCTCTGGGGGCAGGACGTGGGTCCCAGCCCCTCCCCAGCCTCGTGAGCGCTACCACGGCACAGGGAGCAGCTGGAATTCACGTTTGGAATAGCTCAGAATTCTCCTGATTGTTCTGCAGAAGTAAACACCTACAGGGAAAAACCCTTCAGCCAAATGTCGGGGGGAGAGAATTTCCCTGGAAGGTTTCTCTCCCTGGAGAGAGAATCCACTCGAGCAGCTGGAAACGGGTCCTCGGGGTGATGCTGATGCTGAAGATCTGATTCTGTCCCAAACCCACACATAGTCAGCCCATTGCCAGGAAATGTTTTGGGGGTGAATCTGCCCCGTGCCACGAAGATGAGAGAGAGCAGGGGGGTTGTGCAGGGGAGCCTTTGCCCTCCAGCGTTACCCTGAAAGCCTCAAACAGGGAAGAGAAGGAAACAAACGTCTGGCTGTGCCTTCTTTTGCCAAGGGAGTGCAGGGAGAGAATTTTTATGACCAAATGATGGGTCAGAATAATTCCAAAAACAAAGAAAGTGAAAGGTTTTAGGAGGTGGCAGCAGGGCTGTATCCCTGCCCAGCTCCTGTTCCAGCACATCCCACAATCCTGGAGCTCTGTCTCCCTTGGAGAGGCTTTGCCTGGGCTGATGTTCTCAAAAAGGTGTCAGTCCCTATAAAATTCCAGCCCCTGACCTCCCTCTGCCCCCATGGGATGGGGTACAGGGCTGCAGCCCCTCTGTGGGACCCCCAGCCTCAGTCCCCCTCCCCACAAGCTGCCCCAGAGGGTCCACAGTGGGGCTGGATGTGTGTGGGGGCTGTGCCCTAAAATGGGGGCTGTGTCACAGAGTGGGGCTGTACTCCCAAAAATGGGCTGTACCTCAAAATGGGGTTGTACCCCTGCACAGGGGCTACACCCTAGAAAGGGGCTGTACCCCAAAAATGGGGACTGTACCCCAAAAATGGGCTGTACCCCCGCACAGGGGCTGTACCCCAGAACAGAGGCTGTACCCCCAAATGAGGGCTACACCCCTGTGCTCTGCTGGCCACACAGGCCTGTCCCTACAGCCGGGCCGCTGCGCCCCAACCCTCCCGCTGTCCCTCGCCGCAGCCCTGCGCCCCGCCGGGAGCACGGCGCCCTATCGCCATCCCAGTCGCGACAACCCACGCTGGGGCCACATCCCGAAGTGTGTTGTGCCCTGTGTGGATCCCTCCAGCGCAGCCTGACCGCTGTGGTGCAGCAGTACCGCGGGGTCCCTGTCGCGACAGCGCCGCGTGTCCCGACAGCGCCGCGGCGTTAACGTCGAGGAGGAGCCGCCGCCGTAAAGCGCCACCGCCGCAAAGCCCGCGCGGCGCCCGCCGCGATTCCCGAACTCGCCCTGCGCCAGCGCCGCGGGCCCCCCCCGCCCCGCGGGCCGCATTCACAACGGCGGGTACGCCAGCGGCGCAGGGCTCCGCCAGCGCCCCGCGCGGCCCGTACGCCGTTAGCGCAGCGCGGGTCTACGCCGTCGGCGCGGCCTTTACGCCGTTAGCGGGGCCTTTACGCCGTTAGCGCGGCGCGGGCTCTACGCCGTTGGCGCGGCCTTTACGCCGTTAACGCAGCGCTCACTTTACGCCATTGGCGCAGCGCGGACTTTACGCCGTTGGCGCGGCCCTTACGCCGTTAACGCAGCGCTCACTTTACGCCGTTGGCGCAGCGCGGACTTTACGCCGTTGGCGCAGCGGCCGGCGCAGGGGAGGCTGAGGCGCTGAGAGCGGGGCCGGGCCGGGGGCGCCGCCGCCATGGGGGAGCGGCCGCGGGGCAGCGGCGCCGCCGCCCGGCGCTGAGGGACCCGCCGAGGTAACGCCGTGAGGGCGCCGCCGGGGAGGGACCGGGAGGGACGGGGGGACGCCGCTCGACACGGCCCGGCAGAGCCGGGAGGGACGGGCCGCGCCGGGCGGCGCCGCGGGCGGGGGCGGTGGGGGCGCGGGGAGAGAAGGGGGCGGTGGGCGCTGAGGGGGCGGTGGGCGCTGAGGAGGTGCCCCGGCTTGGCACGGAGGGCTCGGGGGTGGTGAAGGTGAGGAGGGGGTTGAGATGGGCCCGGGGGTCGCGGGGGGAAGTGAGGTTCGGCGGGACCGAGAGTGGGGGGGTTCTGGGGCCGGGGATCGGCGGGTTCCGGGCCGGGGGCTGAGGGCCCGGGGCCGCCTCGCCCCGTGCCCTCCCGGCCGTGCCTGTTCGGTGGCCCGCAGGGAGGGGTTCAGGCCCTCAGGAAGGGGTTCAGCCCCCCAGGGAGGGGCTCAGGCCCCCAGGATCCCCCCGAGGCCCGGGGGGGGCGCTGGGGGTGCGGTCGGATCGTCCCCCCCGGCCCGCACCCTGCCCCGGCCTGCAGGATGTTGGCTCCTTTGTATGTGGCTTTTCCTCTCTCTCACCAGAGGGGTTTGGGAAGTGTTTATTTTAGGGGGGAAAGGGCCTGTGCCGAACGTGGTGTTTAAAACGGATTTTTTTTATTTATTTTTATTTTGTTTTCTTCAGCGAAGCGGGTGAGGATGAATGTGAGAAACAGGAAAAAGTGCCCTCCCCCCTCCTGCCCCCAGCAGACAGGAGCTGATCCGGGCCGCTCCTGAGGTTTGCAGAGGAGCAGCAGCTCTGCCGGGGAGGCCCCGTGGCTCCTGTCCCTGGCTGGCAGGAGGGAGCTGAGCCGGGGATCCGAGCCTTGGATCCCGGGGAGCGAACAACGGGAAGCTGTGGGGATGGTCAGGAAGGTGCCTTTTCTTTTGTGCTCTGAGGACTTGCCGTGCTTGGTGCATTTTGGAAGTTGAAAACCAAAGTTTGACAAACCTCTTTGGAGTTGCCACATCAGTCCTTTCCAGACAGTTCGAGGTAACCAGGACACGGGTGGAAAGGTGTGTAAAACCTTTGGAAGTCGCCTCGTTAACCAAATCCATTCGTTTTCCCTCTGCACAACAAGTGGTTGCAGATGTGGAAGAGCAACCAGAGCAGTGTGGAAGTTCACCTGCCAGGCTGCCACACGCACAGAGTGCCCCCATCTCCCCATGGCCACGACAGGGGCTTAAAAATTGGGCCTTATGTAACAGATTGGAGCAAACGTTTGGTGTTTGCCAGTGGTCTGACAAAGAATTGCTGCAAATTAGGGCAGGAGGCCTCCATGGGGAGCCCTCGCCGTGGCGGGATAGGCTTGGCTGCTGGGAGGAACTTGCCAAAGATTTGTTGGTTTTGTTTTAATTTGGTGCTTTGCAGATAGGAGCGTTGTTTGGGCGGTGTTCTGTCGCTCCCTGGGGCGCTGGGAGGGTCGTGGTCCTGTGGTGCAGACCGGTCTGACCCCAGTGTGCTCAGGTTTGTGGGGGCATGAAGTTTGGGGGGCTGTAAGGGTGACTGGCCTCCCATGCCTCTGCCTGGGGGTTTGATCTCCTCCCTGTTGGCTGACAGATCTGTGAGGCC